ATTTATAGCAACAATATTAAATAATCAATTAATAATACAATAGCATCATCATCATCATAAAATTACAGAGCTACCCATTTTTTTCTCTCCTTTCCGGTCTCCGTATCTTGCTTTACCACCAGGCCACCTTGTATATATTTCATACACAGTCATTTATATGGTATAATAATAATTTTATTTATACTGTAGTACCTCTCAATAATGATAAAAATAATACTAAAAAGAGTTGCGATCAAACTCTAAAACAACGAAAAAAACACCTTGCACAGTTGCCATGTTTCGGCTTCTGTACGTTTGCTTGCAAGCATTCAACGCTGCACACTATTAACTATTAGTTACAGGCATATGCCGTCAAGTATCACAAAAATAGCAACTGATCAGCTGCAACAAAAGGCAAGACGGAAAAAACAAGTAAAAGCTAACAACCTAAATCCGCGCACACGTAAGATATTCTGTAAAGGGGCACCTAAAACAATAATAATTAAAAACGAAAAATCAAACATAGCAAATCTCTGTTACCAACCAGTCCACATGTCGAGATTTGCCGTAACCGAATATATGTATAGGACGCATTAAACAGTGTTTGGATTCGCCACGATTCGATTCGCATGAAGGAGTACATGCGTGCGCATCGCGTACTCAGTAGGATCAGCTTGTGAAGATCTTTTTAAGGGCTACGAATTCTTCTACAAGCAGAACAATTTCGAAAAATATTGACGGATAGATATTCGCCATCGCACGACAGTCGAGCGCATTGTGCTAGAATTAATGCTAGGAATGAGTGCAAGATCTTAGGGTCCCTATAAAAAATTCAACCTACTTTTACCTTCCTTGTAACTATTGCTTTATGCTTCCGTTTAGTATGGGTGATATATAATAATTATTGGAAAAAGATTAAATACTCGTTTACAAAGACGGCCTGCCAAGATTGAGAACGCATACACGCCCCGACGTGCATAAACAAACATAATCTATGAGCGATGAGAATGCTACGACGAATAATTTCAAGAAGGTCAGACACAGAGCGATCCGATCTGACCCCGGAAAATATACATGTGGAACCCATGACTAAGTTAAACTTATATGATACAGTCCTATATACATTTCATTAGAGTCGCCTGGCAGGCAACTCGTCTTGCGTATAAATATTTATATGTTGCTTTCTGCTTCGCTTCTTCGTTTGGTATTGTTTATTTCACAATAACTCCGCTGCGTTATTTTTGTTTCACGGACAAAAAGTTATTTCTTCACATAAATCACCTAGACAGGATTTTCCTGAATAGTGTATTTTAATTGTAATGCTACAAGTTCAGACGGCAATTAGACACCATTTAAACATCGCTGTACCTACTCTGTGAACTTCCTGCCACTCGACAACCCCTGTGGCACGCCCCTGCTCGGCTTGAAGTGGGTTTAAGGCAGTTAATAAACGATTTAAAAGCGGCACTTATTTACGATTCCATCGTTCGTTGATCAGTATTAAATGTTAAAGCCAGAACTCGTTAAATCAGTGGTTCCACAATCTGCTAAATCGTATTTTTCTTCGGATCTTGTTGTTAATTAAATGAATATGTCGCAATTTTACCTTATTTTTGGAATTCCAGTGTACTATGAATCACTTCGGGTTTGTACGAACCTCAGTCTAACAGGGGTACACCTGGCGTCGTTACGATTCTTATCATAGTTATAGTATTAGTATTATAATTACCAAGTACGAGAGCTGTTAAATTAACCTGTTTAATAGATATTGTCAGCCTGCAATAATCAGCTGTCTAATGGATCCGTTATTATAAATATATAGATATAATTAGCACAGTTAGCTTCACCCTTTTGGAAGATGCTCTCATCATGATTATTTATCGTTCGCTTTCGATCAACGATTGCTGGGACACATCGGCAAGACTGCTGCGACTCAAATACTCTTTCGCTCCCGCCTTCGTTTGAACTTACATACGAATATCAGTTCTCCATAAGCGGTCGCGCTGAGACGATATTCCGGCTCTGCCGTTTATGCCTATCATAGTTATGGAATACTCCTACATGCATATCTGTTTGAGCTGATACATATGTGTATGTCTCCGCGTACCTATTTTGAAAAAGGGTCTTAGTCGTCTTACTTCGCGCCCTTTTTCCCTCTCCTCTCATACCTTAATCTGCCTTTTGTCTCTTTTATTCTCTCGTTCATAATTCGTACTTATCGACATCAATTTTTTCGTAGCTGTCTTTAACCGTCTATCTGATTCCTAAAAATGGCACATGTCAGCAGATCCTTCAGCTTCTGTAATTAACTAATAATTCATCCTTTCTCGAGCGTTGCTTTTCGTCTCCCATCGGTTATAATGACAATCGATAGTAAGCCGCATTTTGTCTCTGGTGCCCCTAGACGTTTCATACCATGCCGCCCGTCATTTTGCATTCAGTCTCACGTATATTCCCTTTACTCATGTCACTTCATTGCAACATACTGCATTAATACGCTGGTAGCATACCACTCGAACTACCAATAGCACAGCCGCAGACAAACACACTGAAAAACTACTATTTGACGTCTCTTAACTAACAAAGGGCTGTTACGCATTGGCTAGTCAAAGCCAGTCGAGATCCTCTGCGAAGATCCTGGTACAAGACATTTATACCAGATCCCCCTGTTTCAATTGGTTTTACTATCATGCGCTCAGTCTGTCTCTCCCGTTTGCACTCACCCATTAGTTCATGTATTAGCATTAAACAGATCCCACAAATCAATAACATTTTCACTCTCTCTGCAGTTCGTCTTCTTCTTAGTAGTTTCCCTATGTTTTGGTATATTATTTTTACACCCTGTTACTTCTATTTGCTAATTCGGCTCTCCACTAGATCTCTTATCGTTTAGACGTCTTCTATCGCAGAATAGCTAGCTCTATTTTTTGTTTATCGTTTTTTTCTCGTCGTGTGTTTCTTCACCTCTTATTATTGTGGCCCTTCACGAACGTTTTGACCAGAAGACACGACTGGCTTTCCGGAGTACGCAGTGCTCTCCTAATGGCAGCGATGGTCGTAAAACACCGAAGCAAACACGCAATTGCGAAAACTTTTTGATAGAACATACTATCAGTAGTATTTCGTATTCTTAGCAGCATCTCAAAGCTATGCATGTTGTGTGCATGTGCATGTCTGTCAGTCTGTTTGTATTTGAAAACTTCGTTTCGTCCTTGAGTCATATTCGTATATGGTAGTCTGCCATATATTTGCCTATATACAAGCATGGTTTTTCTTGTTTTTTGTGCCAGCCATCTCTTACATGATGCATCTGTGTGTGCGCGTGTGTTTTTGTCGCTTCACTCGCAAGCGACTAGTTACGCTGGCAGAAAAGTTCGTCTTTGTCACTGCTTTCCACTGCCAACATCCTCTTTCGATCTTCTAAACATAGAATGTACCACTAACTCACATATTGTCGTCATCTCACGTAGTGAAAAGAGTCGATTTGGTTTTCCTTTATGTGACAAGGCTTTTATGCCTGGTTCGCGTCTTTTTTTCACAAGCTTGTCTTTGTATTAGGACCTTAATTCTTTGCGAGTGCAAAGTTTTTCCGGCCAAACTGCCCCGTAATTTTCCACCACTTCATTACTTCACTCTAATAATACTTAAACACCTGTTTATTCTCCATTGCATATTTTTTTTATCTTTTTTTTTCAACATTTCGAGCAATCTGTGTGATTCGACGCTTCACACCCATTGTCCTGATGGCAACGCGCTGTGTGTAAGGTGTCGTTGTAGCCTAACAATACATATAGTACTATTAGATACAATAAATTAAGAGATAGTGATATCACACTAGCCTCCTCGTCACGATTATCATTACCAGCCCCACATGTGCCATTATCGAGGTTCGACCGAATAGCACCATGAGCAAAACGGAACAAATCAAAATACACAAATTCACTTTGACTATCAGTTTTTTCCCGGCACAATTGTGGCCGCGCGAGTTTCTGAACAGTTAGGAGCTATTAGGAAACAACCAGCGAAGTAGACAATAGTTTTGGGAATAACGGGCTGGTGTGTAAACTCATATAGTGTTTGTAGCAGAATTGTAACGACGTACAAAGCGCAGAAGGGCGACTATAGGGGGGTGGTTGACGCTATACAATCGGTAGAAGAGAGGGATCCTCTATAGGTCGATTATATTCTACAGAAGCTTAAAGAGTGTATCGACAGGTGAAGCTGATGTGTCAACGTGTCAACCCGTGGATTTGTTTTTGTCTAGTCTGCATTTCGCTTTTTGTTATTGTTCATAAGGTTGGTTCAGCGTTTGGTTGTTTTCCATAATGGAACTTCCTTGGCCGAGATCACAAGGTTTGCGAAATGTGCCGCCTACTAACATAATCGGATCAAAGGGTGTATCGTGGCTCCATCACTTACTACCTTCGCCTGGATTACGGCTTGCGATGGTAGTATGCGTACGGATGCCGTTACAAAACATACGAGGCGTCAATTCGTCGGGATAGCTTACACCATGACGACCTCTTCTTCGCCGCAAAAGAGAAAGCGGTACTGATCGATCATTGTTTGTACGGAATCCTCGAGGTGTGGCCGGACTCGTTCGAACATGAGCATATCGTTGAACTCTAATGGAAGTAACGTCGGCCACCAGCATATTGCTAAGTTCTTGCTGTCCATGCTGTTTTGGCGGGAATTCTCGGTTACTCTGAAATTTGTAGCGAAGGAAACACTTGTATGAGGATCTGTGAACTATTTCGACGATGGCCAGACCACAATCGAGATTAGTCATGGCGTCGAGTCGGAGCTCTTATATTCATTAAATAACATACCAACGAGGAAAAATCTGCTCTTATAATTTACCCAATTTAGTTTATGCTCAGATCCAAAATGCTTATTTTTTTGATATGCTAGGATATGAAATGCAAGAACGAAATAAAAAAAAAGTGGATCTGACAAAACACCCGTAATAAAGAACACAGGTAGATTATAGTGAGGTTTGGATTTTACTGTAGCTCAGTCGTAAGAAGGGAAATTTATTTTCTAGAAAGTTGTATGTCAATTAAAGGAGTTAATGAGCATTTACTGTCTTTCTTTCCGAACAACGTATCCATCCTATCTATAAGGTTTCTTTCGCAGATCTAGTGTATATTCACTGGAATAGTTGAAGTCAATATTTTACTGTAAGAAAAAAGTCTCAATACTATCAATCGAAGACGATAAGGTATATTGAGCGGGCTATTATATTGCGCATAGATTCTCTTATGCTTTGCACACCAGTTGGAATAACCACTAAGGTTCAACGGACCTCACGAAGTGATGGAAAACGTATCTAAGTATTTCCAGATTGGCTAACGGTAATTGGCGTAGGAGACGCCGCATTTCCAGGAGGCGACACGACCGATCAGGAATAGCGGACGCATCTGTCAGTTTATTCATCGCCTGCGTTGATAACAACGGCGGAAGGTGTTTCGAGAAAAAATCCTTTAGGGCAGTTGCCACAGCGTTAACGGGTATGTCTAACTCTATCAGATCGCAGTTCGGATCTGTAACACAGACAAAGAACAATGGTTATAGAATAACTGTTGTACACAAATTAACCTTCATTTTCAGAATTGCAAAAAATGAACTCTACTTTTAGTTTCTAATTCCTAATATATTTATGACGGCTAAACGTTTCGAATGAAGCTTTCGGTTCCGCTGCTACATATTACTTCATATTGCTTATTATGACTGGTGGCGGTCGGCCATTTCTGATGTCAATCTATTTAACGGCTTGATTTACACTAATTTGTCAGATATTGGAATGCTAATATCACTGAAATGTTGACCAAAGGATGGCCCATTTGGGCTCCGAGATATTCAATTGTTGGAACAACACAGCATGAAATAGTACTAATCTGAAAAGAAAGACCGTGAATACTTCAGCGGAAATCAATGCACCGATAAGGCAATGCATCTAGGAACCTTTTCAATGAGCAGTATCCTCAAAAATTGGATTATTATATTATAGTATACACACGAAAGGCAAGAGCGTTTGCTCACCTTCTTCGAACTTTTGGAAGAGCATCTCGACGTGTGCACGATTTCCGGGCACGCGGTAAAGTCCCTCTGACTCGAGGCCTTCGGTCTCGATGAACAGAATACACTTTTCGACAAACAGCGGAATAAATTTATCCGGCGACTGTGCGAAATCTTCAATACCTTTTTTTGTGCCTTTTTTCGATTTGCTTCGCTTTTCTTTCTTTTCCTTATCCTTTTCTTTGCGACGCTTTTCACCCAATGTTTGCTATCACAAAAAGTAGTCAACCAATATATCAAAGAAACCAAGAAAACAAACAATGTTAGAAGTTGCTTAAGACAAAAGTCCATGTTCCTATTTTCATGCATATATATGAGCGAGAGCCAATAGGTACTAACTGTAAGAAAATTCGTACAAACCTTAAGTTCGAGATTATCAAACGGCGACATGGTATCGTCCATTGCTCCTGCGACACAGGACAGGCTATCGAGGCGAGTTTTGGCTGTAAGACGCCACCATTTTACAAAATGTCTTATTTATTAGCACCACGACAAAATCTACGGTAAATAAACAATACTTGATGTGTTTAGAAACATAGCATTGTACGTCACGACACAAGCTCTTCATCCATATAAGCAGATGAATGGTCTGTAAAAATCAACTTTTTTATTTATTATTTACTATTTTTGGATTCCTGGTTTGTTTTTTCAACCGCTCTCAGTCCCCCCAATCAAGAAATCACGTCCATCAACTGTACTCCTAAGAATCTGTTAGCCAAAGAATTACGAGCGATCCATTTTTGGAGATCAATTCATTTGAGATCACCGCTATCGTTGCCAGTAGCTCATGTGAGATAAGCTTAACTTACTAGTTACCGAGCAGAACTGTACCGTTTATCATGTGCGCTCAATAAGTTTGTTATTTGTCAATTATTAGCTACCGCCTATGACAATCAACTCTAGAGATCTTAAATACAAGCCAATGGCGTGTTAAACTCGTAAGCGCCGACGGCTAGACAACGGAGCCAGAGTGCAACTTAATTTTGTTGTGCCTCAATGAATCTAAGGTCAATATGATAGTAATAAACAACAGTGTATATGGTTATGACTGAACTCAGTAGGCCACAAGATTGAATGCGCTACAGCACCGTAACCTATTACGATTGGTAACTGAATGAAAGGTTGGCCAAAATCTTGTCCTGATTTCGGCAGTCACTAAATCACGATAATAACTTCGCCTTTCGTTGTACCTCTACTATTTTTCCTTTGTACTTTTAAAAATTTTGATATTTTTTTACGCTTATAGATTTTGTGCAGATTTGTACGCAAATAACAACGTGGCACATGCACAAACATGATTAGCATATAGATCATTGTTAGTCTTTTTCAATAAAGAACGTTATCGTTAACACTGACGGAAATTTTACGTTATCCATCCATCATATAGCTCAACGAACTGCAAACGTCAATCGTTACGAGGAACTATCGTTAAGAGGCTTCTTTTCTCCGTCATTTTGTATAGACAACATAATATATTTCGCCATCTTGCATCCTATCGCGAAACTCTTCACGTACAGTAAGTAATTCCCCAAGACTAACGAGCTAATTACTACTAGGCTTCAACCTTCACTATTGTTACACCTCAACGTTCATTATTGTTATGTTTGTCGCCGTTGTTGTACTCGTTGTTCAATTTCTCACCTCTTCTCAATCTTTTTTGTGTTCTACTTACTGTGTGAGTTGAGCGAGTTATCAGAGGGAAAATGCTGGCTAAAGAGGAAATGGTGTCGGAGTGAGCTTGGCATGTGGGGTGGCAGCGCGAGGCGATCCAGGCCTAGCGAACCGAGGGCGCCCAGAGACGGACCGTACCCTGGCGCAGGACCCAACGCACACGGCGCAGCTGAACAATACACCCCGAGGGCCGTTGCTGCTGCTGCAGCTGCAGCTGTAATGCACGACGTACATCACAAACACATCGAAACCGCCGAAACAACAACAGCAACATCGACGACGACGACAACAACAACAACAACAACAACAACAACAACAACAACAACAACAACACAGTACCGAGAGCACAGACCAGATCACGATCAGCACGAGTGCAAACTGGTACAGAAATCAGCTCATCACCACGATTTATTGTTATGTAATGATTTAATGGATTTTTTTATACTAGGTATACATATGTTACGGGGTTATATCATGTCGCAAATTTGAAAAACAAATGAAAAGCAATAAATAATGGGATAAGCCCAAGCCACTGATTTGCTTCTCGACTGCGTAACAATTAAAGGAAGGGCAGTTAACTGCCACTCTGTTAAACTAGGAACATTTGGCGTAACTTTCTGCAGAGTTGTAGGGAAATTTTTCAAATTATAAAATCATGGCTCTAATGGATCGTTTTATTCACTCGTCGGAGACGAGTTTTTTCGTTTTTCGATATCAACCGAGATTGAGCTATATCTAACTGTAGGACGTCAAGTTTCTTATGTTGAAGTTGGCTTGAAAAATATCCCTACAGTATTTCCAAAGTAATATGGCACAAACAAGGTACGGATAACCAAACTAGATAGTAGACTAATGCCATCGAACAACTTAAACGAGTATCCAAGACTATAAAAGTCGCCGTTACCTTACAATCCAATAAGCGTTAAAGCAGAAGTGAAATCTATAGAAAGGCATAGTCGGTAATTGCTGGCTGTGCATATGATAAACGACACGTAGCATTATGGAAAATCTTATAATGCTACATAGTAGGGACCTTATTGAAAAAGGACTTATTTACATACCTATGCTCTGCTAGATTGAAGCGCTGCGGGGGCAATTCCATGACCTACTACATGACACGTACGAGTGAATCGCATTTTGGTATTTAATTTGGAAATTGGGTCATGCGTCACAGCATCATTACTAAATAAATCCATAAAAGAAATGAGAGAAAGCTCAGCGTGATCGAAACTTACTACCAATCTGTTGAATGGCGGCTAGATCTATCTAACGCTCTGCGTAATTCATTCTCGAATTTTGAATAAACACGGTGTTGTTTTGCAATGGTCTTCATCCTCGCTCACATTGTATTCCTCACGATTTTTGAGAAGCATACTTTTTTCGATGTATCTTCACCAAATTTGGGGAAGGCATAAAGTACATTCGCAGTTATGTTCGCAAGACTTCAGCGGGTTTGTAACGAGCAGAATTACAGATACAGTGAAAACTTCTAATACTATAAACATCTAATTTATGTAAAAACAGTAGTTTTATAATTAATAATATTCCTGCAAAAACACCAAAACCAGCACTCAATGTGTAGCGGTAATTTTCTAGAATGTAATAAAACACAATAACGTGAGCTATAATTTACGAAAACTATTTGAACTTCAGGCCGGCGTGCAAACATCGATGGCACAACTATCTCGAGGCTTACATCTAATGCGTACATGGACTCGTCCATGTTCTTCATGTTATGATCATCGATCAATTTAGCTAAATAGTGCATTCTTACTGAGAAATGGCAGACGGCGTAACTATATAACTTAGTTATGTTGGTGGCTTAGAATTGAAACGTGCAAAATTTCGCGAACCTCATCACGACGAAAGCATGACTGACGGATCAGGATCGACCGGTAAAGTTAGCTGATTAAAGAACATGATTCTGAGATCGTCATTTTTGCCGAAAAACAATAAGTGATAATGATTGCCTTGGCGCCCACTGTTATTAAGGTTACTATACAAAAGATAACTGAGACATACCTAAACATTTATGTAGATGTGACTAACCGGCTATACGCGGTGAAATGAGAAATTGATTAACTAACTGACTGATCAGTTTCAGGTAGCTGACGAACATCTGGTATGTATGTGATACTGAAGCAAAATGTATTTATTACTGCATGCAAAGAAACAAAAGTTAGATAAGTTATGCATGCGAATTGAGGCGCCTCGTCCATGAAAACTGTGCCAGATACTGACGAGGGTGTAGACAGAGATATGATCTTCTATGAAGATATTTCATTGTTATAAGAAACTAAATGCTTTGGGAGACGAGTACGAATGGGAAGCAAGCTTAAGGAGGACAGTGAAGCCCTTCGGCAGTAGTTCCAAGGCGGACCGTGGTAACAAAAATCGAAAGCTTGAAAGTGGCAAGAACGTGTTGACGTTTAACATGCCGTATTTTAGCGAAATCAGTCAAACGTAAACCGTGCAGATGTAGACAACTTTTCAACAACCCCCGAAACGCTCCTGAATTGGGGCAGGGACTGGGGCTAGGTGACATGAACAGCCGTTTGTTATGCCGCAAAAGTAACGAAACCAAACACAAGACATCGTCTAAGAGCTATCCTTTCCACCCAACTTCAAAGCATTCGATAGGGTGTCGTCGTGTAAGACGAGCAGCAGACAGACAGAAAGAAGAAAAGGAAAACGTTGGATGAACAATTGTTAAAAAATAGACGAAGAAGAGGAAGAAAAACAAGGATTCAATCGATTGTTGTTCAAATGAAGGTACATCAACTGGGGTTGAATTGGACACGCTCGCGCACCTTTTTCGGGATCCTGTGGACTAAGCGGGCCCAATGGGTTAGTCGTCGGGTTGAGGAATGCTGGTAGACCTCCCTCAAGATGGGGGATCTTGGGCGGCGCGACGGCGATTGCCTTCTTCTTTGATCGTGTCTTCGAGCTCTTTCTCTGCTTCGCCTTATCGCCGCCTACGCCAGCCACGAGATCCAAGGAGTCCAGCTCGAGGTTGTCGCCGGAATCGCTGAGTTCGCCTACGGAATCCGACTCGCTTGCGTGTCCCTCGCCTATTGCGTCCAAGGTAACACAGTATGTCAACGCGCCAGCAGTCACCCGTGGCGTTTAGGTGAAAACCGCAACGTTCGGGTTATATTATCGAACCATCCAAGGACAACGCGCAGTACACACCATGATGAAGTATGCGTGGTGACGTCAGTACGCAAAAGGTGTCACAAGTACAAGGCGGACATGTGTAGTTGACAAGGGATGTTAATTATCAAAGATGTTCATTCGTAAATACGTTCATTCGCGTTCGTGTCGATTCGTATCGGGTTCCAGCAAGTGTCCATAGGATGAGAAGGCCAATCGGAGCGTCACGCATCCATAACGCCACAAATAACAGCACCGACCAGGGCAGCAACCACAGCAGCGCGAAGACCCATAAGAAAGTGACAGAGCGGATAGACAGTGGCGCTATGTGATTTTACTTTTGTAAAAGAGGACGCGGGTAGGTGTAGAAGGATGTAATTAGAGCATGTAACGTACGTGAAATGGCCAGACCAAACACTAAACGGCAGCGGATAGATGATATGGAACAATCCTACCTCCGCTGATCATTGAAGGTAGTTTTCACGGAGGGAAGAGGGACAATAATGTAATTCATAATGACTTTTTAGCTCGATACGTAGTGAATGAATGAATCTCTGGTGTTAGTATCTCATTAGGACAATCAAACATTAAAGCGCCAAACTTCTATGATGCGACAAAGGTGATTCATCATCCACCTACTAATGTTTGCATTCTCTTATCTGAAGTTACGTGTTTTCATCATCTATAAGCAAATCTCTGATAGCAGCTATCAAGATGGGTTAGTAACAGTCCCTGAGCTCTATTGGTTATCGTTTGGTTTCGATAGTGAAAATGGTCGATGAATGACTGGAAAGCCCTACGAAGCAAGATACTTCTAAAATTAGCTTTTAGTGATTAATGCAATGTTATTAGATTTTCTTGCATGGGAAGCAAACAATGAACTGATAAGTTTCCAAATTTGGACCACTGCTCGAAAACTATGTCTGACTGAAACTTAAATGAACAGCTAACTTAAGATGATAACGAATTAACTGCAATTAAAAAATGAAGGGCTTGTTGGATTATTATTAGCGGCAACGTTTTAACAAGAATATTATTACCTATAAAGACAGCTGCCCACGGATCGAAAATAGTACAGTACTTGCTTTTTAATTAGCAGCCTCAATGTAAACCTAATTGTCCTTATACGGCCTTTATCAACTAGTCTAATAAATTCTATCAGATATTAGTACTTCGGTCAACATGAAATCAATCAACCAAACAAGTCACTATTGAGCTACATGGATGAGTCCATCATTTAAGGGACATTAAGCTACAAAATCATTATATTGAAAAATGCACTATAAATTATCCAAATTCAGTCCAAATTCTTTTATAGACCGCAGATCTAGATTTGTTAGCATAAAGAAATCCCAAAATTCAAACCATTGAACGGATGATTGGACTAATCTACTCTAACAATAAATCGACACGGCAACAGATAAAAGTCGCTGGCAACTAAAAGAAAGTATTGTCAAGGAATACGACTGTATAATATATATATGTGTACATATAAAACATGTGTGCGTGTGAAGTTACATACCCTTGTCCTTGGCGCTTCTCGGCAATCTCTTCTTTGGCTGCTGTGGAATGAGGGGAGCATAGTGGTGGTCCTCAACTTCGGATCCGGACCCGCCGTGAGCGGGCAACAGTGAACCGTGGGGCGCTTTCGGAAGGGCTCCCAGCGGAAACTTGGCCCCGCCCGCTGAGCCGCTAACGTTGATCCGTTGGATAGCGTTTTGGATGTGGTCGAATTCCCGCAAATTGATCCTTCCTACTTGCTACTCGTAAAAGAGAGATAATCAGTTTTCAAGAACGCCAAAGACTTGCTGTAATTTGTGTCTGGTATGGTATATTGAGAAGACCCAACAATTGTTCCTTTGTTTCGACCACACTTAAACGAGCTAGAGACAAACTGAGATCGAGGTTTGTTGAAAGGACTCATAGAACACCTGAATGCCATCCGAGTGTGTATGCTGATACGATTTTCGCATAGCAAAAACATCCAATTTTTATGTGTTATTGTTCAGACCGCTGATATTTAAACTTACCTTTTGCCTTGTCTTGTGCTGTTTATGTTGTTCTAGCCCAGCCGGGCTGCCAATACCACCGGAAGGTCCGAACATCCCACCAAATCTCTGGAACAGTTGATCGCTTGTTCCCTCAACTTGACTTCCAAGCTGCGCGAGTTGCTGACGCTCCCACGAGTCATCCGGCGTCTGCGAACCGTGGCCAAACGTGCTTGTTCCACCACGCTGTTGCTCATACAGACGATTGTCCACCCAACCTGATACAGTGGCAGTACGACAGCAGTCTAGCCAGCTAGTCTCCAGTAATAGCGTTACACATGCGTTTTGTTACAGTGCTTGATTAGGAACTACCGAGTAATAAAAAAATTCGCGAACTACAATGACAATAGCAACCAGAACGAGTGTACTGACAATTACCGCACGGATTTACTCAACGGCTAACTAAGTCGCTGGTTAAGCCGACCACCGCTGGTTCAACACATATGCCCTCGGCCGAGCTTTGCCCTTATTCACAGTTAATAGAATGCATTCCAAATGACAAGTTCGTCACTCTAGTCGTCATCCCGCGGCGCTGAAAGATTCGCAAACGCTAATTGGGCCTGCACAACGCACCAGTATCAGGGGAGTACGACAGTATAATTTCACTGAACGCAATCTTATCAATGCCATTGGAAACGAGTTAGAGACCCCCAGGTCGTTAGTTGTAGGCTCTATCTAAAGAGGTGTTACATAGGAAGACCTAGACGGAAGCAAAAGCGAATCAAACATGAAAAGATCAGAAAAATATTTGCTAGACGCCTAAGGGAGCAAATGCATTTAATGATGCGTCATTTTGTAACGCTGTCCCACCTAATCGTGAAATAAGGTCGCTCCACACAAGTGGACTATGAACGTTCGTTGATTAAGTTCCGAATAAACAACATCTCAATGAAGTACCACCCCTTGTTTGTGAAAGAAACAAATGCATCCATTCGTTCACTACCTTTCTCTTCGGATTGGCATTTACCATCCATTGCGAGGTTTCATTGGCGAGCTGACTTAAAACGCGTTGCAGTTGCCTTCATCCTTTTACTTCTATATGGATCTATTCATGGATTCGCAACGGATCACTCGGAATCAATCCATGGCTTTGTCACCTGAGCCTGACTCGCGCGCCACGTCAGTTTCCACAACAGATTGAAATCACTTGGACCGCTAATAGATCCATCGATGCAGCGCGTGGCTACAGGAGTACTGAGCAAAATGAAAGCCGCTCGCGAGAGTCGTGGAGTCGCTTGCGCTTCGGGTAGAGCACCAGCGAAATGGTCCATCAGTATCGCATCAAGGTCACCATGATCGTTTGTTATGCCGACAACAATTAATACTATAGTATCGTAATTGCGCGCCCCAACGGAGAGGGATGTTCCCAGAGCGGCGGAATTATACTTCGGGCCTTCTGCTGAACATTGCGGTGGATACGATGACGGCATCGTCACCACTGGTGCGTAAGCCATCTTCGCAAGCCAAAATAATGGTAGGAGAGATATTGAACGAGCTGACTATTTATCGCTAGCATATGGTCAGTCAATTGCAGTGAATGTAAACCTCGTTAACGTTGTGCTTCAGGTGAGAACGATAACCAGAAAAGAAACAAACCTCAAAAGAACAGCACATCGAATTCTGGACCATTTTTTCATAGTCGTTTACGATGAAGCTTCGATTCACTCATGAGCCGCGGTCATCGTGTGATTGATCCGGTTTTATCACGTATACGGAATAGAACAGGCAATACAAAACACTCTGATATTATCCATGCACCCAAGGAATCAGAAGGACATCATCAGTCACCATCAACCCTGTAGCTTGTTGACAAAAGCTCGCTAGATCGTAAACAAACATTTGAAATTCGGTCAATTTCAGCATTTAAAGCCAACGAAGCCAACAAGAAACTAGTGTTGTCAAATCGTTAATGGGACAAGCGCACTTGCAATGATCTAAGTTCTACAATCTTTCTACATCAAGATATTCACCTGCATCGAGTGAGAGCGACTCCTGTGAAGCTGTCTCGCCCGCTTTGTAACGAGATGTGATTCGCACGTTTGTGTACAAAGAAAACGTAAATAAGTTAGTCACACGATCGTCTTTATCACTGTCTTTGGATAACGCTACCCAATCTTGTAAATCGTATCGATTGCTAACGCTTCCAGTTTTTGTGCGGAGTAGTCGCTCGATAAGTTCAACCTGCCCTCCTCCCCACATGCATCCAAAGACATTGTCTTCATATGAATCCTTCATCTCATATTCCTCAGTATGAATCGTCATTAATGTAACATCTAGCAACATATAGGCAATTTTTCTTGTAATCATTGTTGTCTTTCTTTCAATATACATAAGGATTAAGTATCGATCTACTGGATCATCACTGCTATGGACGTTTCAACACTAATAATTGTGTTCACAATCAACAACTAGTTGAGATGCACAGAATGGCTTAATTTCACACAGACCCTTGCGAAAACCGGCGGCCGGTGGCAGGAGGTCGGGGGGAGCCGGGTCCGGCGGAGGGTACCCTCCATAGGCTAGAGTATCGCGTACAACATTGCATACAGGCAGAGCCCCAAAACGTCACACCCCACAGAACACGGACGTGTACGTTTCCGTCGCGAGCATAACGTAAAAAGATAGGAAGAAATCACTTGACGGTTAGCTTCTCTAGTAACCATTATTTACAGCATTTTGTTTTAAATTCAAAAGTTTTTCATTCCAAGAACAGCAGCTCGAATTTATTTACATGTATTTCCGATTCTTCGAGAAAATAATCAAGATCCAGTAAAGAGTTTTTACTGAAATGCATACAACAAATCAAGCTATTTTCGGTATTTAGTACCTCTTACATGTTTATTAGTTTGCTTAAAATAAAATCTTATCTAATGGGATATTTGATGGGCTATCTGAAAGGGCGTCTGGAGTGGGCCATCTGAATGTTCGCGAGGCTCGAAAAAATCTTTCATTCTGAAACATATTCAGCAGCAGTTTACAATAAGACGTCTCTACGTCGTGGGAAAATTGGATTCAAATTAAATCCAAGTTACTACGGCCTAAGCAGACCGTACAGGACCTGGAACTTTGTCTTTTGGGGATGATACAATGGGGAAAAAAGCAGCATTAAGGAAAAGCCTCGGCTGGGCTTCCTTAATTAGCAACGGCGAATAAGGATACTTGTTCGTTTTCAAATACATAGTAAATTCATTTGGAAACAAGCTGGCTACTCAAACACTGACTCACAGAAAAAAGTAAGAAACTAATTAATATAAGTTGGGGTTCTAATCAGAATGCTGGCGGAAGTCATTGCACCTCTTCCGAACAAAGTCTTATTATCATGAACGGCTCTGCTAACCGCTAAGAAAACTTGCAAGTTCATTTTAATCGTCGATGGTAGCTGAGAATTAGCGCGTAGCATGCCAAGTCAAGCTAAAAAAATATGCAAAACAGGAATTGGGTTCGATTGCCCTGAGAGATAAGCAGCAGGCACACAATGGACCGAGTAGCCCTGATAGGTTGCGCATGAAGTGTAAAGAGAATGATGGAAGAATCTCGTTGCGAGCCTCAAGGTTAATAACAGTGTGCAGTCGTATAGTTGTTGGATACCCTGTTGAATTGAGACACGAATACTTTGGTGAAACAAACATTACGCAATATACACTTTACCATTAGCATGGTGAACCTTTAAACAATTGCCAAAACTAAGGACACAACGTGTCCTTGCTAATTTTCTACACAAAATGGTGCTGCTTTTTCGAATCAAAATGGTATCCATATTTGGGTTTCTATAGAGCATTGGCAGAAAAAGCAGTCAGAATTAAGGGTGACATTCTGTTTTTCTAGCTCATACATGTGACTGTAATTTTCTACGGGTAACTCATGACATGCTTACTCAGATCGTATGACAAAGCCAACATTAACATATGATTCTCGTTGTTAAAAATAGTGATAATAAATTAATCAAAATAATCTTTGTTTAAAAACAAAGTAGTTTCTCAGAGGCTAAGTAGTAAATAAGAAATTCGAGTTTCATCGCATTCTTCGTGTTTCGTTACTTACCGCTTAAGCCTGATGAGACGGTATCGTCTTCAGGTGATTCCTCGCTCAGGCCTTTGCCTGCGTCGAGAGAGTGCCTCGACGGGACAACTACAGGGGGTGGGGCTGCTCTTAACGACGAGCTCTTTTTTAGTAAGAAACTGCGAACGCTGTTTGCATTGTTGCTGCCCGGGGGCCCAGGGGCTGCTCGAGAGAACTGTCCCCCCGTCGAAGACGGGGGCGGCTGTTGCGAGATCAGATAAGCATTCTCGGTCGAACCCGCTGTACCTCGAGAAGCCGCAAACGTTGACATAAGGTTTCGTGCGGGCGGAAGTGGAGGCGGATACGAAGGCGCTTCGCCGGCCGATAATCGGGGCTTGCGTTCCATTGAGTTGCTATGGCCGGGACCACCTGGTTAGAGTAATAAATGATATAAATGATGTTTAGAATGGGCATGAATTTCGCTTAACTGTCGTTCTTATCACTATAAATGCTGTATATTATCGACATGGGCTTGCAGGTATCAATTTTGTGTTGTATGTACGTGCATTGTATCTATAAGTGAAACCAAAATTAATGATATTCATAGCTTTGTTGTATAATATTTAGCTCTTCATCGGGAAGACAAGTTGGTTGAGTTATCGATGAAGAAGTGCTTATTCGGGGTCATCAATCATTGTGTTGTTTGTTTAGTCCGTTTAGTGGCAGTATTCATTCAATAGATGCATCCGCGCCCACAGTTCCCATAGTGCTATAGCGCAGTATAGAAATGATACTTAATGAAAAAAAATGCAATTATAGAACATAGGAATATCTATCACAGCTATCTGTACCTGCTCACTGCCATCCCATAAATAAAGTTCTATTTTTTTGTTATTACGGCGGGAATTACTAGTACTGGTATAATAGCCAATGAATACTGGTTGTACTTAACTTTAAAGGTTACATCGTTGAAAAGAATAAAAATCATTACAGAAGAACAAGAGGTTTCATACCGTTGTCGGTGTTATGGCTGGTAGCGACGCCTACCGTGGCCGGAGTTCCGGCGGCCGAAGGGGCCGTAACTAGGTGAGGGTGATGTAATCTCTTGAGCTCATCTGGATCTCTTCCGTTGGCGTATAGTGGCGCGTACATACCCGGGGTATCCTCGTCACCCGGACTAAGGCCAGACTCGCCAGGCAGTTGCTCGTACAGCCCTTCGGTGTTCTCGTCATTACTGGTAGGGAGAGACACAATAATACAATATGTCCGTGCCATAGTCGTCAGGAAGTGTGTACTACCAGTAGGTATTAGAAAACATCATTATTACAGCAGCCGATAGATAGATAGCGAAGGGGCATTCGGTGACTGGGCTTTTGACAGGACTATGACCCTATTTTTGATTTCTGGCTTCGTTTTTTTGATCTAAGACGCTTTCTAATAGAGGTTTATGCTAAGCAAGTTAACAAAAGTATTTTTGAGCCTATGCCAACTTCACTACGTGTTGCAGGTAATTTAGTGACGTGACATAAGCCTCAAAATATGTTTTCTGTCGACTTGTTTGGCAATAAACATACTCTACTAGAAACTGGGTTTCGTCGTTAGTTGCAACGCTGTACGTGTTTGAAAGCACATCGTTAGCCCAATCTTATAAGGGTTGAAATTTGCACACGTTTGCCATCTCCCTATCTAAGTGGTTGTTCTACCTTTTACTTTACGACTGAAGGCCGGCTGGCATTGTTCATGTTCGAGAAAAATCGATAATGTCACCATTGGTTTTGCACTTGTTCGTCAGCACGAACTTACATAATAATAATAGCCAAATACGTGGTCCAACCCGTATATGCTTCCCCCCCACCAAACTTAATTAGTTGTTTTTCTACAAGTTTTGTATATTAACTGCAGCGCTAACTAATGATATATTCAAACATGCCCGCAATACATGTTAAAGGCAACACGAACGGTAACGAAATTCTACGAGCAGCACCGACGAACAGGACTTGAAAGAAGGTAGTATGAAAGAAAAAACGACCTGCGATACGTCAAGAAGATACAAGAAGTGCAAAGTAATCCTTTAGAGCATTTCGTCGGCATTAGACTACACCACGAAGATCTATGCCTGACTTTGGCCAATGATCAAGATAGTACAACAATATTACCTAGCGGCAACACCGAGAGATCAGGGTGGCTACATGGGGCCTGCTCTAATGGCGAGAATAATGTTATATTATTTAATATAACGGAAATTACCCTAATTTTCAACATAAACTATTCTAAAATTGTTATTTGCTGAAACATACACAAATGCCAGTAGGTTATAAGGTTTCGAATGTAGCTAGTGCAATATGCGTGCAAAATTCGATTCTTCGACTTTTTTCTAAATAATGCCAAAACCCCTAACCTACAACCCTACAGTATACTCTCTATCGGTGTCCTGCTCTCAGCAAGGAGCAGCGCCCTTGGTAGGCTACGGTTACCCCAAACTGTATAGATCCTAAATGAGACTAATCGAAATGAGAAATTTCTCGGAGTTCCCGGTTAGTCGTTTAGTTCCTAGTGAATTCCGGTTCACCAGCTTATAGTAATGAGTAAGATATCTGATTCGGCCACTATAGCGTATTTGACTAAAATGGCCGTACTGCGTAACAAATACTGCGAGGAGAGCATAATAAGTACAAGTTCATTAAATCAATTGTGAAATAGTCACAGAGACCCCGACTGTTGTCGCTCTCAAGAGCCATTCGGCGCATCCTTGACTGAATTGTTCTTTAATCCTTGGAAGAGCATCATCTCCAGTTTATTTCCTCGGTGCCTTTTCTGTGTTCCGGGTCAGATTGATTCATTAGACGATGATTCCACCGATCAATCGACTCAGTTGTTATTCAGAAAAAAGAGCAACAGGAATAACAAGCGAACCAAGAGAAACTTTTTTTATACGTTTATTTTGATGGTAGCAACCATTTACGGACATGACCTCGCCTATGACGATTATTGTCACACAACTTCGGTTATCCTTTCAGTAACTCAGGTGTTTATACTGGCATCATCAAGCAAACAACTGTGTTATATGAGGACCGTAAGCGCACTCTTAGAACACAATGGTACTGGTCAATCGCTCAATTCACGACCATCGCTCGTTGCTTATAGCCTTGTTAGCCGTCATATTCTACAGCGTCCTTTATTCCGCCGTTGATCATGATAGTACGTGGTTGCGCACTGTATTACGTGAACCGGACGGCTATCGCAGAGTTTGTTTATCTCAGTTTCACGCATATATCTGCTATATAGCATATCTGTAGCAGATAAATTATAGCAAAAAAAAGTTATAGCATAACTTGCAAGCAGTCTGTTCGTTCCGTACGTCGAACGGCCCATTCATCGTATGGTGTAAGCAGGTTATGCCACAGAGCAAAACGTCACCCAATATAGAAAAAAAATGCATTGATTACCTGCGGTATTCTTAAAGCGAGATTTTATGCGACATTGAACCAATATCGGGCGCCTCGTCAAAGGAGAACGTAGCAACGACGGGTCGAGCAGACGTCGCCTCTTGCACAGATTCGGCTCGAATTGACGTTATCGATATTCGAAAGTTCAGGCCAGCCCATTGGCGGGCTAGCGGCTGTGGACTGACGATGTTCGTGACCAGGAATCGTTTCGCGGTCACCCACCCTCCACGTTCGCGTTGTTCGTGCCCAAACTAACGCTCTGGTCTAAGTTGCTCGTGACTGCCAGAAGTAGTGTGCACGAGCGTTCCTTCACCGTCTGTACGATACTATCACCTACGATAATAGCTAAAAACGCTGTGATTACGGTCACAGCATACTAGGTTCCCAATGCCTATTACCGTTCCTATAATAGTGAAATAGCGAACCAGCCTCAAGTGCAAGTATACTTTACAGCGGTGAAGACATTTGGAAGGCAATGAATTTATGATTTACCAGTTATTTTTAATGCGGCAGCGGCGGTCTTCGTTGTCGCTAGACGTTAAATCTCCTGGTTGCCGTGCGATGCTTAAATACGTGATAACATGCGTCGTACTTGTCACACATGGACGCACACACGTGCAACGAGATGCATACAAAAGCAAAAAACGTGGGACGTTGATACAATAGAAGAGTGTGCGTTCGCTCGACGTTTACAGGTACATGTGTACAGACGGATTGGTGTATATGCATTAAGCGTCGCAGAACGTAGATTACAAATTGTCAAGAGTGATAAAGTAACAAAAGGAAGAAAACAATCAGTTGTGGTGAAGCCATGAATGGGTCCCTTCGCCAGACGCACCAGCAACGGGCGGGAGCTTGATAACACGTCAATTTACGAAACGTCACAAGCTAGCGAAATATCACTCATATAAATGATGCAGACAGCACCCGGAAATCACAAGCAAGTACAAACGTAAGAAAAAGAACGACTGTCGAACTACGAGTCGTAAGCCTCTCCGAGGACTTCAACAGGCCAATACGTATCACGCATTTCTATAACAGGGGCTGATCGCCCTCGAGTTGCGACAACTCGACTGACTAGATACCTACCTCTAAATGCGCACCTAACTAATTACCAACACAGTATAAACATAAAGAAAACAAAAGTGCACTTTTTTTTAATATTAAACACTGCCGTTATTAAGTTACTACTAATACGACGTTATCTTGTAGACTGAAGGATTTTATTGGAAATCTATTTACATCACGAGCACAGTAAAAATAACGAAATATTAATAGCAGAAGAAGTGCCAGATTTTCTGCGAGTTATAGCCAACAGCGTTCAAATCGATAGTATATTTAAACGCATATACACACCACGCATATCCACAAACAAAAATCATTGTTGATTATGCTAGTGAACAATATTTTCGTTTCCAATCTCTCCTAGCCAGCGCCTTTAGAGTTTTTCCAGCGGGAGCAGCTTATACCTGCACTTCACTTCTGTTTTTTTCCCACTTGGACAAGTTCACAGACAATCGTTCCAAATCCCGTACGTCAACTGTCGTCGTCACTCGAACTGGAAGCCATTTCGGGTGCGGCATTCCCGACCGCTCCCCATCTCCACTGCAACAGCGCCTACCACTGCGATACTACAGTCACGAAAGTGACAATGATTTATTTCTACTAGCTCTCACAGAAGAGAAAGAAGTACAAACTAGGTATTTTTTTTATCATCACCGAATTTGCACCACACACACACACACACACACACACACACACACACACACACACACACACACACACACAGGCCAACCTCATGCATCTCCTTGGAAGCAGTGCGCGTCTTACGCCGTGCACTCTACTCTCGAAACGTGCCTCGAAACAGTATTCACGGTGGATGCAGTCATGGTCACAAACAACGTTTGGCCAACTAAGTTACTAGCGTGGGTGATCGCAACATTGCCGTCAGTCGGAGCATTACAATTAATAACGATACCACGATATTCTGTCCGATATGCGCACGATATACGCTGCTGACCGTACCAGCATCAGTAACAAAATTGATTGCTACAATAAGCGGGATGCTATACTCTCGAACTCGCAGACTCATGGGTTGGTTGGACTTTTGCTCATTCGGGTGTGTGTCTTTTCGTCTGTTCGCGGGTTAATCAGAACGGATAGTTTGGGAGGGAGAATAGCACAGACGTACGATTGAAGCCAATGTTCGTTCCGTCCGTCCGCCCGTCTAGAAGCTAAGTTACCCTGACCTGTCCAACTGACCATCGACGTTCGCCAACTTGCGACCGTTTGTTTGCCGACAATTCCAATGGCGACGCTCTCCTTTCGTCATCAACACTGGCCAGCAGAGGCGAGCAATGAGTGAGCTGAGACGGATATGCTGCTGGGCAGCACCCGTTGCAATAGTAGCTCTGTCGCGTTGATATGGCTGGGAGCGTAGTTATGCGTAGAAACACGGAACAAAGGCGGCTACCGCTCCAGAAGGAGGACGCAATGGCGGTGGCGATACCAGCCGCGATGTCCTTGCGAAAGCGACACAGCTGTGTAACAGCGAAAGCGTCGACGATAGCGATGAACAAGTGGTACCGAATCGAGCGATACGGCAAAAGGGTAAACTACTCAGTCAGAACGGCTGGAGCGAGCAGGCGAGCGGTCAGGCAGACAGTCTGCTGCGAGAAACAAATTCAATTGAACACTGATAGCAATATAGTCTACATTTCGTCTTCTTAATTCTTTTCGTTCGCTACCCCTTGTGATCTCGCCCTTATCTAGGGGTTATGGTTTCGTATGTAGTTCACGTTAAAAGCAATCCACACAGAGACTCGCTTCGTCCCGTAATTAATTCAAAACATAGTAAGTGATAGCTACTATTTCGTCTAATAGATTGATGGAGCGAATAAGATAAAAAAGAAAAAAACAACAATAAGCAAGTCTGACGCCGGGTGAGGGCACTGTTTTTGTATATGATATAGCTACCAACAGACACGTAGCCTTATAGGGGTTTGCGATTGTATATTATGCAATAAATTGCCAAAAATTTAAACAAAGTGTCATAGTAGAGTAGTTGGTGTATTCAGTACAATTTGAGCAGTCTCCAACGTTGTTTTTTCATCTGTGCCATATTGAACGACACATAACAATAAGGTGCAAATGATATATCCAGGGAGGGTAGAGTTTATATTAAAACATCAGCGTCAGTCACTGCGCGCAACAAGACTTATCCGCCGATTTCACTCAAAAGGGATCTTCAAGTTTGTAGATTGTAAGCTCGATGACTTCAAATTTGATGTCTTTAGCAAAATTCTTATCTTCAATGTCATTGAAATTGGGAAGTCGGTGCTAAAAGGTCAGCAGGTTATGTTACAGCATGCAAACTGGGAATAAAGGAAATTCCCATGGAACGTTTACACTCTCATATATATACCTGTTCTTATTATCCGTTAACTATTACAGACACTAGCGTACCATTTCCCGAGTCCTAAGCTTGGTTTTTACAAAAAGTAATATTTAATATATGCAGCAGTAAGATGCAGGAACGCACGAATTTTATCACTGAATTGGAACTGTACATTTCGCATATACGTTGACGGTCAAACGTTATTAATATGTTGTTTAGTAGAAGTCAATGGATCTATAAAATTAGAGCTAATAGCCAATCTCGTAGGCGCCTTTATTTCCGGAACAATCCTTGAATAATAAATGGATAGTGCGTGAGCTTTATAATTTCAAGTTGCATTTCTTACAATTTCTTTTGCAAGACTCGGGCATTTCGTAAGATTGATTTGTTCTCTGGGGGACATAACGGTTACGTTAATACTATAACAAAATAGGTACCGCAAAAACTTACCCGACAGCGGGTGTTTGGTTATAGCTCTCGTGTCGCATTGGCGGCGGCGGTACGACGTATCCTCGTAACGGTAAAGTGGCCATTTCGGAAGGATCTCCACCCTGATGTCCGCCATGGGGAGCCCCGTGTGCGTGGCCTTCATGACCTTCAACGTCTTCCTCCTCCTCGGTGTACTCGGATAGCTCCTCTTGACAAGAGCCGTCACACACAGGACTAAAGGCTCGTTCTGTTCCGGCTTTGTATTGATAGACGTCTTTAAAGAACGGCGAGTACGCGGTCGCTGTAATCAAAAAGAGATCGATTAGTCAATGAATGAAAAGCAAGGATGAGTTGAAGTAGGTTCTACAATTGTTTATAGTGAATGCATGTACATATTAGCATTTTATATATATATATACAGCTAAAGAGCAACATAAATGCACCGAGCGGCGTGCGAGGCTGCATCTGTCATAATCTGCAGGTCCTTTCGAGGCACGATGAGTTTATTATACATATGATTAATATATAATTGTATATTAGATGTATTGATATGGTAGAATATCTTGAAAATACTTGCTGCCAAGATATAGCAATGAAAAATAGAAGTTCACAGCCGAGATTTCAAATCTTACTGAATCAACGACCTCACACTTTACCATTATATGAAACAACAACTTATGGCTTGGGAAAAAATCCTACAGAAACTAACATTCTAACAGATGCACGTTAAAGATTCGTCGGCAGGTTTGCCTGGTTGATGATTAATTCACCGTTGGCTCATTTAAATCACAATAAAATTATGAATTAGTGTAAACTACATCAACGTCCTCGTTACTTGATATGGAGTCTTTCTTTCCACTTACTACTTAGCGGTGTATCTGGGGATGCAGCACATAGAAAATGTGCCTGTAATGCATGGGCAACGTCCTCTCCTTCAGCTAACAACGTTTCCCGTGTGGCCGCGTCTTCTGCGGTCGTCGGCGGTAAACCTGCAAGAGCCACTATCTGTATGGGCACATGTGAGATGTTCTTCGAAAACGAAGTCAGTGCGGCAAGCGAGTTTGGTCGCTCAAGAGCGTACGCCAATATCACGCCATTTATATGTCCATCAGGAATTTGTGGTCGAACCCGATGATAGCTGGTTGCTTGAATCTGGACAACGATTGTGGTTTTACCGCGGGGGCCTACAGGGCCAACGTATGCCTCAAGCGTCACCGTGTTCGGTAGATTGCTAACCAAACAGCATTGATGAGATAACAAGGGAGAAAGTAGTCGTTCAGCGTCGTAGGGGTCGCCGCACAACATGCAAAGGAGCACCTTGACGTCTGGAGGCGCGGCTCCCGGTTCGCCGAGACCCCGTCCGGGACCGCCTGCCAACTGCATTAGGCCAGAACGTCGTTGAATTCCCTCGATTAATTGCGATACAGATAGAAGTACTGAAGCCCGATCGAACCCATCGGCTACATAATTGACGGCGATGAACGGACATTGTAACGCACGGGCGCGGCTATTTCCTTCGTCGCGTAACTGGCCGAGTTCGACTTCGTCGCCATTTTCGCGACATAAAAGCACTAGAACAATTGGTAGACCGTGGAAAGGCTGCCGTCCGGCCTCTTCGCCGGGCTCCTGCTCAACCAATTCAGCGTCCTGTTCTAAATTCGACAGAAGTGTCTTCTCCAGCGAATCGCGGATGTATTCCAATGAACTGAATAGGATGCAAGAAGAAAATTAGGGGCGGTTAAGTTAAGGGCGAGGCATAAGGTGAAGCCGCAAAGCGCAGAACAAAGTCTCCATCCGAGCCGTGTAACTATACAGCATAATATTCAACTAAATAATTAGAAAAAAATAGTTTGGAGCCAAATAAAGACTTACATGGGCTAGGACAGAAGCATCACTATGCCGATTACGTGTTAACAAGTATGTAATTTTACCTAGCAGAATAGTTGTACACAAAGGCAGACTCGAAAAATAGCACACATCTGTGCATGGAGAGGTCCTGATTCCTTTGAATGTGACATGAGATGGGTTTGTCTGCGCCGGTTTCCGAGTCCGCGCCAATACACCAAAGAGCCCTTAAGTGCAGTTGCACATGTCACCATAGCAACTTAACGCTAATGCTGTGGCATGTAAATGTAATATATATGTTTCGACAATTTGAAGGGATTCCGAAGCTTACCTGGAGTCCTCGTAGAGACATATGCAACCATGTGGAATAAAGTCCGGCGTCCGAAACGAATTCTCCGGCTGTGAAACATCCCCGTCGATTAGACGGAGTTCAAGGGCGTAGCGCTGGTCCTTTTCTAGTTCTAGAATGCACCGCCCTGACGCCTCGTCGATACAACTGCAGCACTGATTCTGTAAGCACATGAGATTATAGACTACTTTGGATTTACATGCAATCAGACCATAGATTATATAATACTAGCTGAAATAATGCTAATCTTACGTTCTTTTCAGGTGCTTCCCTTATCATTGAGTGACTCACTAACATCCAAGCATAGCATATATATATATAGATTTTATAAAATAATTAGTTGAGTGAACGACCTATAATGAGCAGCACAAAAAAAACCGGTCTGTGTACTTCTTACAATACAATTAGTTTTTACCGAAGTGCCTAGGACAGTTGAAAAATCAATAAGATGACACAAAATTGTAATGATTAAAGAGACCTGACAATTAAATGTCAAAATGCAATACATGCACGCATGTCGCGTATTGGCTGATTAACCGCTTTCTTGTCGCCGGCATAGAAAGAACACGTGTCTACAAGATGCCATTCAGTGCATGAAATAAAGTCTTCGGCTGACTGCCCAACGACGGTATACTTTTGCCACAGTGATTCGGCTATAGCATGGTTCTTGATTTCTATTTTCAACGGATATCTATATATTTGTTGTAACTCGTAATTTGTCAGAGGAGAATATTTGTTTAGAACAATCTACAACACAAGCTGCTTTACAATTTTTTAAACGCACATATAGGTGTCACGACCGCAGTTCATACGATTTCCGCTACTCCAACACGAAGACGGGACGCCATAGTGCGGAAATATTCACTAGTGCTTAATATTTAAGCGAAGATTAACCCATAAACATATTATTTTTATTCTACATGTCTACTGCTTTAGAACCGATATGACAATGTAACCATCGTGCGACTTAACAAGTATAGCAATAGCAATGGTTTATTATTTACATGTATGTACCATATGTCCTTTGACATAACAAAAGCCACTCTTTACTCAACTTAGAATTTTCGATAAAATTTTGTCCTACACATCCACTATCTGTTCTGCCTGTACCCTGTTTATTTCGTTACTCTCTCTGATAAAAAGTTGACAACTCCCATACACGCGCCAATCTTTTCGTTACTATAACCTGCTCGAGCCTGTAGATGGCGCTGTTTTCGGTTCGTCGCTCCTTTCGCTCCACAACAGACTTCCCCATCTAGGAGCTAACAAACTAGCTGGCAAACGACTATGGAAACAGCTACTAGCAGAAAACAGACATACAGGCCCTGTAAGCAACGAAGCACTCAGTAACAGACAACATCCTTGAAAGACGCCACTAAATAGGCCAGAAAAAAAAAACAGCTTCGAGAAACTTGGCCACGAAGCACTGCCAGCAATCACAAATATTCCAACCTCTTATTGTCAATTAGAAGCTAACAGCTGACCGTTTAAGTATCGCCGAACGATGTCAACACATGTTTAACGTTGAGGTAGGCGTCGCTCTTACGACCTTGGGTGCAGTCTTTTTTCGGCTCGACACATTCAGTGGTTCAATACCGCGTCTGTTAGGTAACAGGAATTCCACAAAGCAACATCACAACGGCCCAGCAGTTAGAGAGGATCCGCCGATGGTCGAAGATAAACCGAGCCAGCAGCACAAGAACCACGGTAGGTTAGGATACGATCGGCGACAGGCCATGCCAGGGTGCAGCCAGGCACAGCCATGCTAGTGTGGAAAAGTAGTTCTAGTTGTTATTGTAGACGCGACTTGTAGCGAAAACCGTGAAAACTCTAGGACAGCTAAAATCACCAGTACGACGAAGCAGGAAGCGAACTGTGTGCCAATAGTAATCGGATATTATACAAAATATCGGAGACGACCAGACTGCCGCAATCAAGTTAGTAAAAATGGAGTAATTTGTTTTATTGCGACAGTGACTCGCGTATTTTTCGCTGAATAGCAAAAAATAACTAAAATTCGTATCATGGATAGTGCAAATTTCAATTACTACGGTCGGGACATGCAGGATTCCGTGTCCCGTCTCCAGAAAAAGTATTGGTCTACGAAACAGATTCTAATAAAGAAATTTGGCAAAAAAGAAGACGATAATCTGGTAGCGTCCGATGCTGATCTCGACGCGAAACTCGAGTTATTTTCAGCAATCTACAACTCATGTGTGGCACTCGAACGAATACTTGAAAATTACCAGGACCGTCTCTCGATTCTCAGCCAGGAGGAAAATGCCATGGGTAGGTTTCTCAAGGACTGCGGCAAGCAGGATAAGACTCGTGCCGGCAAAATGATGACGGCAACCGGCAAGTCGCTAGCCTTCACCGCTCAGCAGAGACTCACCCTGCGAAATCCTCTGATACGGCTGTATCAAGAGGTAGAGACGTACCTCATTCGGGCGATAGCCGATACCGAGGCAACTGTTAATAAAATGGAGAAATCTCGCACCGATTATCGAGGTGCGCTGCTTTGGATGAAAGAAGTGTCGCAGAAGCTTGACCCAGACACGTACCGGCAACTAGAAAAGTTTCGCAAAGTACAAGGTCACGTCAAAAAGACAAAACTTGGTTTCGAAAAGTTGAAAGTAGACACCTTGCAGAAAGTCGACCTGTTATCCGCTTCGAGGTGTAACATGTTTTCGCATGCGCTTGCAGCTTATCAGCAGGCTCTTTTGGCTTTTTGGGATAAAACTGCGCAGGCATTGGCCGAAGTGTCGGAAGCTTTTAAGGGCTATCAGTACTATGAGTTCACGGTGGTGAAGGAGTTGGCTGAACCAAGTAAAAAACTCGCTGAAGAGAGTGGTAACATCGGTGAACCAGACTCACCTTCGAAAAAGGTGCGTTGTCGTTACAGCTGTAGTTAAATGCACTTCTTGATAGGCAATAGCCGCAGTCGACGCGGCTACTAGTTATTATCGGAGTTTAAAATACTATAGCGAAAACCTGTAATCGGTTGCAGCTTGTTTAATTATTGTGATGATTTTCAGTTTGTATCACTTACTGTAAACGAAAGGGATCATTGATTCTACTACACATAGATATACCTAATTACATTTAGGAAAATGGGGAAACCTCAAGCACAAGTCGACACCTCATACTCATAAGTCTTTACAGATATAACGGTCTTTGTCGCATCGATTTCATTATAGGCACGTGAAGACGGCGACAGAGATCGAGCTTTGTTCTACAATCCTGAGTGGAAAGACTCCCCAGAGCACACGGCTCAAAAGGCAAGTCTGTGGCAGGTGAAAGATGGCCAAGTTATCTTGGAAAAAACCGATGACGCCACAGAGAAAAACGGCCCAACGAAGGCCTGCGACAACAAGGAAGTAGGATTACAACAGCCTGCACTGATTGATAATGATGAGCCGCTCCTTTTGTTTGATAATGACGATGCCACAGATCTGGGCTCGATGCTCGACGAGATCTTTCGTTCTAATAGCGCGCAGAGCGCCCTACAAGGTAGGAATTGAGCGACGAGCAGAATCTGTATACACAATAGTGGCGCTACATTACCTGATTTAGAATGGAAAAATTCTGAGAGTAAAATATAATTTCGAAAACGCAGTTGACGAATGATATCTAGGCGTATGGCGTATGTATACTGAAGCTCGCTTTCCCCTATATCTGGCTTTGCTGCAGGGAGTTTTGCCAAGGAATGGGAGAGCACATTTGGACAAGTTCAAACACAAAAGGATTCGTCAGCGACCGCAGAAACTGATCTCCTCGGAGGGGCGTTCCAAGATGTAGCTTTGATCGAGGGCCCGCAGGCTGCCAAAGACGAGAGCCGATTAATTCTGCCGTCGCAGTTGCTCAATCAGCAACTAGCCGGACTCAATGCCTTTGGCGAGATGGCGAACAATGCCACATTTGGCGCGATGCTGAGACCCGCCCAAACAGCACAGCCGGTGTGCCATTCCAGCATCTTCAGTTTTTCGCAGGTTAAGAACATTCCGTCTGACTTACATATCATTTGGCCGCGAGTGGTCAATGCTTGAATGCATTTTGTTGGGTTATAGGAGAATGAAGAAATAAAATCCGATTGTTGTACACAGCATTTTACTTTTAGCAAAACGGGAAGCAAAGAAGAGAAAAGAAGCTAGTTTTTAGAATTAATCTTCTACTCATAGTTCGTTATGAAGAAAGTGCGAGATGTTATGATAACCACATTGCCTTGCAAAAATTCATTTGTATTTTGATGTATGTCGCCCTTGATCAGGACAATGGCGCATCAACCTCGGGAGGAGCTGGCACCGCCGAGAGAAAACAACTTCCCGGACACAAAACGGACCCATCAGCATGGCTGGGATTATTTGCCGACTTGGACCCAATCTCGAACCCGGACGCTATCGGCGCCAAAAAGCCACAAGAGGAGCGTAACTGCTAAGTGAGCATGCAAAATTCGTATTGCACTGTTTTTATGAAGATTCACGCGACCGTGCAATCTGTTGGCGCTCGCACAGAATTGCTCCGAAGATTCGCCATTGCATCGGAGGGGAAGTACTTCTAGTTGAAGCAGTACACTCTACTTTAATTCAAATATGTACCGTAAAATTAGATACGATATATTATTATATTCCCTACGTGACAACTAATACCGAACTAATAATGACCGAACTGCTAATAAAAGAAAATTACGCTTGCAATGTTCATCTGAATGGGCAGTATGTGTTACATTTGTGTCTAGTCTATATATATAACACACACGTAAGCGTTTCTATGATGAAGTCGATAGGTATAAAGTATGAACGATAAGTTGACCAGCTAAAACTAATCTTCTGTAAGTTGATCAGCGGAGACTAATCTAAAGTTGATAAGCTGGGACTATATATTCAACTTTATACGGTCCAGTGAAATGAAAAAGTGCTGTAAAACTAGGAAGCCAGCAGCAAAGTCTTGATAGAAGGAATGGTTAGTTTCTCAAATCTGTATTTAAAACTAACCTTGAAAAAGTGACTAAAGCTGTGCAATAGGGATTTTGTGGCAAATAATACGACGTTGAGTTTCTGCTCGCCTGTTTCAGAGTGGGCAAGCGCCCACGCGGAACTGCGGGCCCAGGATCGCGGTCTGGGAGCACGCTGCAGAACTCGACCTATCAACCGGTCCATACAGTGAGTTACAGGACCAGCCGGACAGGTAGCTCGAACAGGTCCGTGGCCAATAAAGCCTAAGTGTCGTAATAAAATCAGCATACGCTCCTGGTCCAGCCGCTCCAACGTCTTATACCTAAAAAACAAAATAAAAAGCAATAAGCCACAACTAGTAGAGCAGTTATTAACTAAACTCACTGATCCTAGCCAATTACGTAATCCAGTGACAAGCTTAATGTGGTCCACGTAAACTGACTACCGAAGCCAAGTGACTAAGCAAATTCCTACTACTGTTTTTGACGCTGCAAAATGTTCATGGAAACTTTACATCAGCCCCTCTAATCCATCCCATGAGGACAAGTGTTTAAAAATAGATTTATGCACGCTTCTAAAAAATTAAATCCTGGTTAACTGCAGTCTATCTATTATACAAGGCTCAGTATTAGATACTCAATTTATGTTTTGCCTATTTCGACAAAATCGATAAAAGCCTACCTGATGTCCTCTTGTAGACCCTGAGTGATGTTTTGTATGTCGTCCTGGCCAATGACGCAACCATTGCCGAGGTTAGCAAAGCCGTAAAAAAGATCTGCCCTCTCAACAAGCAGTTCCTTGAAATGTTTCTTGGCACGCTCAGTGATTTCTTGTTGATGCTCGTCGTAGATGTCCTGGATATCTTTTTCGGGTAGATCTTCGTAACAATCTCGACCCATAAACAGCACACGTACCTCGGAGAGGGCTTTTCCAGGCGTCACAAAGCCCGTTTCCTCGAGCAGTTTTTTAAATGCTCTCCTCTGGTCATTGCGCCGATCTTCGCTTTCTAGCGATTGCCGATGCTGAAGATAGCATTGCTCAGCGTCTTCACTGTCGAGTAACTGGAACGGGACGCGGTCTTCATCGCATAGGCCGTCCTCGTTTTGGTCATCCCCCAGGATCAGCTCCTCCCAAGACTCATCCGGCCTGTCGATGAAGTATTGATCAAAGTCTGGGTGACTGCGCAGCTGCTCCTTTACGTCGACCCATTCGGTATCCTTGATGGCGTCGAGGTCGGGTAGCAAGTCGAGCAGAATGTCTGGCAGAACCCTGAGATAGGCTTGGACGCGACTATCTATGTACTGCTCTTTAAGGCGTTTCGTGTGTTGGACAAACGTCCGCTTTGCTGCGTCCTTGCCGTAAATTTCCACGTAGCGCTTGAATTCGGGACAGTGTTGTACACGCTTCGCGGCGGTCACCCAGAGGGTGCGGTAGTCGTTCACTTGGGCGCGAATTAGTGCCCCGTACGCTTCGGCAGCAAAGTCGCACATTTCCTGACGGCATTTCAACGCTTCCTGGTACGACATCACTTTAAGTTTACCTGGTCGAGCCTTATCCACCAAGTGTGCTAAGACCATGAACGCTGTATCGACGTTGACCGCATTGTGAGCAGAGGTTTCCACCAGAGGGATGTTAGCCGATTTGAATTCTTTACGGGATAACAGGCGATCCAACTCTCTAAAATACGATGACGATCAAGAGATAATAACAGAGCACGTATAAACACATTGCAGATGTACCGAATTGGGAATAAACATTAGCGTAACATGTTGGTTATGGGACCGTGTTGTTCCTTTCAATATTATCTTTTGAATATAATTGAGACAGGAACAGACGTTGGCTGATATATGTACTAACACTTCTATATTTTATAAAATACTTGACACGTTTGCATTTTACCTCTGCATGGCGTCATCTGCTTCGTCGCATTTCGTAGCAGCTAACACAATAGGCTTCTTCGTTTTGATAAGTTGACTGAGGCATGTGGCCGTATATTCGACCACGCGTTCGACACTGCGTCCTGGAACGTCGCTGACGTCGAACACACACACGAACCCGTCGACGCTCAGGCGGCCGTCTGGCATCAGACATTGCTCATACTCTTTTTCGATGCCTAAGGAAAATTGAACAGCGATAGTCGAATAGATTGTATTATTTGGAAAATCTTGAAACTGGAAAAGCTCTGAAGAGTGAAGATGCCAATTTTTAGGTTGTGGCAGAGCAAGCAAGTGCATGGCATAGTTTATACCGGAGCATAAGTATACCAGAGTAGATGTTAGTGGAAAAAAACGCCACAAATAGAAAATACTGTTCGGCTATTTTCCAGGAGAGAACACTACGAAAAAGTAGGCGCTAATATGACAGGATCAAAACAGTTATTTCAATTGAATATATTAATAGAGAAGTGATAACATGCAGATAGGATGTTAAGGAGCGACCGCCGTTTTTGTCTGTGTGCCTCTCTATATTTTGTCAAGCAAAAGCAAGTACTTAGCACTAAGAATAACTTACCCAGTTGATTTTTACATATATACATAAGTTTCTCGGCAGAGGTAAGTTTCGTGGAGGCGCAACGCTTAACGTAGGGGTCGGTTTTTCCGCTTTTGAACGGCTGGAAGCTCGAGTCGTCGATGAACTCGGTTTGTTCAACGATGTGAAACGTGGTTTGTACTCCGGCTACTCCTGGGGGTAACGGCGGTAGACCGGCACTGCCCCCGCCCAAGACACCCCCGGGCCCACTAGACAGTGTGCTCATGCCTAGTTCCTGGTTCATCTCTAAAATGGGTGGATTAACATAAATGAATCAATCACCCATGCCACACTTGCTATTCAGATGACATTAATTTTGAGTTTGCGGCTTGAGGACTAAGGTTAGATTGAAATTGCTACGTTCACTTAATTTACAATGTCATCCTTTACGTTCCCGTTTAGCGTCCACAAAGAAGATCTGAGCCAACATCCTCAAGAAGATAATTTATGAATAGTGAAATTAATGTCTCGAGTTGTATACCCGAAGCTGATCTATAACTACGTCGAGTCGCTGACCTTCAATACCACACAAATGCATTTATTTTAAGATCTGATCCCAAGAGTGTTGCAAGTTTAAGATGCAGATATGTTCGTACGATCACGGCGGCCACACCGTACTGACTACTAACTATGATTGTATGGCGGTGTTTGTTTGCCTACTAAACTTCGGGACACGTAATAATCCATGTTGGAATTCAGGTGCAGGCGCACATTGTTTCACGCCGGCAGGAGTCAGCCGTCTGAGGTGATACCAAACGGCTTAAGTACCGGACATACCATACAGAACACTGATTGGTACTGTCACACGGCATTTTCATTGAATTATGGTATGTACGCTTGCTAAGGAATATAAGTTGATCATTCAGTAGATTCCAGGTAACATTCACAACAATTTAACATAACAAGCTACGGCATATAGTTGCGTCGGTTAGGCTAAACACAAACAAATTTACCTAATAAAGGCTGGTTATACAATTGCTCAAGAACTGAGCACAGTTCACAAGCGAAACGTTACTTGTATCGAAGCATATTCATATCAGGCCGTGTTTGTTGACGAAAATAAATAGCATTTTGATTGTAAGTAAAGCCAAACGCTAGAGTAATGACGATAAGATTAGTTGCTAGTAGTACCTGAAAATATATCGGGTGATGTCCCTTTAGTGACATGACCCCAATAGAGGAAATGGTCATTGTTTACGACCCGACCACCGAAGTCCGTCTGTGATAAAACAGAGATATGGTCCGTGTAATAGTCATCTTCACCCGGACGCACAAAACGATTGCAGAGGCATGATTTTCCCGAGCCCATGCAACCCTTTTCCTGGAATAGCAGCAGTGATAATTGCAGTAAAAGTGAATATGTTAACTTACATTCACTTTGCCCCTGGCAAATTGGAAACAGAATACCACACCATATCCCAGTAGTGTCAAATTTAATAAATGTCTATTATGTTATTACTGTTTGGCAATATAAAATAGTAATATAAATGCAACATAATAGAAATATAAAAAGTACTAGCATATTATTAATCAAAATGCGGCATAGCTTTCCGGCGCTTATCTAATTAGAAGCATACGTTGCTCTACAACTTAACTGAAGCTATCAAGTTGCACAAGTTACTGCGCATGGTAACATTATAGCTACTGTACGACTACATAGCTATATTGTCCCTGCATAATACATGCAAAAAAACATTCTCTCTGCCAAGCTTACCTTTAATTTACCCTTTTATTGCAAAATGTCGATACTACAACCTTTTATAATACTTGAACAGATTTTAGACGATTTCATCGCCTCCTTAAAACAACGGTTTCCTGTTTTTAATAGTTGTAACATAATACGTTGATTGAGTCTTGATTAATATTCCAATAGTGGTCAGCTGGCACCCAGACTCTCAAAGGGCTAACGATAAGATAAACAGCTAGACCGAACAGAAAGCTCGAGCCCCGAAAAATGCAAATCGTTGAAGACGCACCATAGCGCTGCTAAAATGCTTACGAATAGAATCGCTGTGTCTGGCCGGCAGTGAACTGCTTGCTATCAGATAGAAAAAATCCAATGTCGCTCACACTAGGACGTGACACATATAGATGATAAACCTATCCATATGGAACCATTAAGGCCTGGGTGACGCTGGCCGCGTTGCCATGGCGCTGTTTCTCTTTATCTTTGGTCGATATTGAAATGCATCTATTCTACCCACATATCAGACTATATCGGTTGATTTTCCAAGGTGTTTATTTATCGCTCGTTGTGCAGTACCTAGTGCATCGAATTTTTTTACACTCGGACAATCCAGGCTAGTAGAAGATGTCGTTGGCGTCACTTTGAAATGCATGCTGGACTAGATGATCTTAAGGAATAAATAACTCTGTAAATCCTAACAAAAGAAGACATGCATACGCGACCTTTTTCTTCTCATTAAGTGGAACTCGTACAGCTAGTTTTGTAATAAAAAAAAAATATATGATCTTTGTTGCTTCTCAACTTTCATTCAAAAATGAGTCAGATTTTATGTACTTAACTGCATGGGCTCCTGTTCAGTCTCTAGTTGCAAGCGAATCGGACAGCTTTTTCTCGAAAAAAAATAGTGGCTTTAGACGGAAAAGAAGGAAAATATGCAAATCCTATTCCCCCTTCGGGTTATATCAGTGTCTATATATATATATGTAACCAGTGGATTGCTTGAATATTCCGCAAGAATCTGTTTTAGCATGTATACCGAAAGACTTTGATGAAGACGGCAAATTCTGTGTGCAACAGAACGGGTCACCTACGCACGACCATTATGACGAAAAATTGTACCATCTTGATGAGAATCGTCTAGAATACCCTGCCGTTTCCTTGACCAGCCTACGCCAGCAAACCGCAATTAATCAAAAATCAGCATCAACACCCAAATGAAATGTTCTTTGAGGTGCAATAGTTAAAACGCGGAAAAGTTTAAATAACTGCAGTCGAGGTTTGTACATTTCATGAAACTGAAACTTAAATATAAATTACATAATAAAACCTGATAATATAATCTAAAGCTCGAATAATTTAAACTTTTCAACACACATACATATGTGTGTGTATGTACAATATATAGTAAGTAATAGGTAAGGTAGTAAAATATATTGTACTACAATACTTCAAGATCAAGCAAGTGTAGCAGCAATGTTCTGACAGATCGCACCGCTCCTACCCATATTTTCGCTTTGGACTTGAATTATTGGCTTGGTATTGGTCACAAACAAAACAGGTTCCAGCCCCGTTACATTTAACGTATTTGTCCGCAAACTTATATATTATTTAGATATAGTTGTCTTCGTGTACGTTGAGACTTTTGAAAGCGGCCTCGTAATATCACGTACACTATTACGTAAGGACATACATACGAATTTCTCTTCGGCTTGATGCTGAATCGACAACAAACGCATAGTAGTGCTCCGCCCGAAGCAGTCGTATAGGCAGGCCATTTCTTCTTCGCCTTCTCGCAAACTGGGTTGGCCTGCGCCTCTGGCGGCCATGAGTCACCGTCAGCGCTGCTGTCGCTCCTGGCAGTGGCAGCATACACTAATAATCATGGCGATAGCACTCACTGCAGTAACAGAAGTGGCAACGGAAGCATAATTCGCTCTGTTGCGTCTTCGAGACCACCAAGCAGCTAACCGATAAAACACAGACAACAAACCGATGAGTGTATAGAGTAACATAACTACGTTACGGAGAAAGCGCGCAGCTTACACTCATCCATAACGTATTCTCTGGCGATGTTACCCAGACAAAATGTGATGGCGCTATATATACATACTGGCGAGGTAGACCCATCGAAACCTTGGAAATCCATTGAAATATCTAATAAGGAAAGAATCCGGAAAGATGCATTACTGCTGGTTGGTTTTCGAATTTCGGTTGACTCCCTTTTGTGAATCGAACACCGCGGCCTGAAGCATTTAGACGGTCTTAGCAAATATAGCAGCTGGCAAGCACGTGTTCCTACGTTACCGTTTCTCTATATTCTTCTATAATATAAAAATCGATTATATCATACTGTGCTAATGACCAACTTCCGCTAGCCGAAGTCTCTTTTCGATCCGAAGATGCTGTATTTCTGACTCTCGATGGCTACGTCGCCGACCTATCAGATAGATGCGCCGGACCCCGCTCCATGCCGGAGTGCAAGGCACCAGCTCAACAGCAAGATCAAAGTCGGACGTAAACTCATCATGATCAGCACTATCACCGTGTGGAAGTTAGTTGCGCTCAGCCTACTATCGTTGGGTCCGAAAAATCGATATACCCCTATACCCCTACTATTGCTGATGGCGGCGAAAACAACAGTGGCGCCGGCGGCGGCTGTGGAAGCCGTAGAGACCGCTATCGATTCAGCCAAAAGCCTTCGAACTTTGGTACTTTTTCTTTTCGTTTTCAGTGCCATTGCCACTTCGTCGATGCCGGCAAAAAACCAAAGGGATCGTACCATCTACTCACTAAGCACAACATCGCAGAGACAGACATCCAGTTATAGAAAGATGCTTAAACGAAACGTTCATCGTAACCGAGTAGTTCTTAAAACAGACCCGTTAAAGAGGAACGCTGGTATTACGTCGACGATATTCAAATGTATGCAGATATCCATGTATGTTCCTATGTAAACATACATACATACATACATACATTTATACTATCATTATCTCCCTAGGTAACGTGTAGATGTAAAGCTCTGAAAGTGGACGTTTATATTAAACTTAGAAATATCGTTGAGCAGGAAAAGCGTGAACGAATTGTCTATACATCATACGTCCATAGAATGTTCCAGTTTGCACTGGTTTGCCATTAGGAGTTGCAATGATTGGTAACGCTGGTTCCTGGTACTTGTTTGGCCTTCTTCCCTATTTCTTACTAGACTTTTGAGAAAATCTTGAAATAGTATTCATTCAAATTAAGGAATGTTGATATGTTATGCCACGAACCAGTTCGATGAGCGTCCCCTCGTCTAAGCCGCTTTATATCATGTTTGTTTTGTAGGGGGTGGTAATCAAAACCAGTTGCTAATGTGTGTATTGGCTTGTTGTCGTTCTTTTCCGGTAAGGTTGATAAGAGAGTGCATGAACATGCAAAAGAGACTACAGGCGCAAGCAACAGCTTCTTAGGGGCTCTCATCAATGAGGCTAAACATTCAATCGGCCGCGTATTACTCAGAGCATCACACAGATATCTGGCCGTGTTTAACCGTTCCTCTCGTCGTTCGAAGAATAGGATGTCTGACAAACTAAACCACTTAGCCTTGCCGCTTGTACTAGATCCAATAAATAAAACAACATGTTTACAGGTATCTATGTATGTGGGTATAAAAAATACGTATAGGAAGCCTTGGTTTCGTCACAACGTCAACACATCATACGACCTCAGTTTGAGATATAATCAACAACATGATTGAAGTCGGTTTTGCTTATAGAACAAGAGCAGAAGGAACAAAACATTCCCTACGGGCACGAACCTTTTCGGTGCCAGAAAGGCCAATGACTGCAACCGTAATCGTGCGCTTTTCAACGACAGAGTTGGATTCCGGGCCACCAGTTGAGTGGTACGATCCGCCGCGACGCCCCGTCGTCGACGCTGAGATCTTCTTCAAGGTCGTGGTCACCGACATCCTGACAGAGTCCTCTTGACACGCCTGATGTTTGTTTCGCAGCCACCAATAGTTGCTGCTGCAGCAGCTTCGACGGCGTTGCTGGGGGTGTCCTGAAAGCAACACCTCCTCCACGTAGACGTTCTCTTTGGCCCACGATTACGTCTGTTGCCCCGTGCTGATTACGTCTGCTTCGCACTCCGAGCTCCGGAGGCTTGCGTTATGATCGTATACTGGCCATCTGAAAATGAAAAGAACAGGACAGCCAAACTATTAGGAACAAGTTAAGTACAGCATGACTGTACACACCTATCAAAACGATTTTTAGGTTTGCATGTTAGTACTCCGAAAGATATCTCACTAAGAAAGTGTTATGGATCGATCATATAACGTATATGGCAATAGTGTAAGGAAAATAGCGTAGCATTTATAAACTTACAACTTAATCAGGATATAAGAAAGGGCGTTTTTGACTGAATGCGTTGTCGTTGGGTTCTACTTTACCGAGCTGGCAGCTTAACCAATTTGGCTACGAAAACAGAGATTGCTCTTGAGTCCCCGTAGATGGCTTTCTCTATTTAGCGAAATAGTGGAGAATTTATTCGTCGTTGGCGAAAATCAGACTTCGATATAAGTGTCTCGAAACTTATCAGGTTCTGCAAGTTTAAACCAATTTCCGTTCCCACGACCCAGTTACGCATGCATACTATACGCAGACATTATGTGTCTAGCATTGAAAGTGTAGCAGTTTTTATCTCCTCTAAATGTACGCTAAACATGTCAACGACGTCTTTCGCCTAAACTATACTAACTTGTTTAACTTCAAATTTGAGATTGTAGAGCTCAACTTGATTCAGAGTGATAAGCCATTACCAAAGAGCTTAGGTGAAGTCTTAATACAATCGAAGTAAGCGCTTTTTCATTACAAATGTTTCAATGGATGTCCGTACGGGCAGACTCATTGACAAAAATCTCAAGAGTTGTTCATAAGGAGACCCAAGAGCAAATCGCCGTGCAGAGACGATGACAGCTCCGATTGATAAGTCTGAAAATATCGTAACCATGGGAGCCAATATAGCCAGCCTTCTAAATCAATTCCCAACGATTTAAACTAGAAACAACTAATTAAAATTGCATTGACTTTCTATTCATGAGACAGATGTTCAATGAATGCGACTCTATTTACAAGCAACTGCTCTAGATATTTGTCGTTAGTTTTACATATATACAATGAGCCGTACCAAGTAAAATACAGGGTAAAATAGTGCTCGAACTTGCAACACTGCTGAAAGGCAATTGGCCCCGAGGGGCAGCGTTCGGTATATTTTTTTTACACGCCGTACTATAACATTGACACGTACAGACGTGCATATACATACACACAGACATTCGAAAAAGGTCGTGAAAAATCTTGTATTGGTTACCATGCCTATTCACACTAATGAAATTCGACACAACAAATAGCTAAGGAAGGAGACGGCAGAAAGGGCCAGACTATAGTAATGTTTCGTATCCCTAATTGTTCGGACGCCCGCTTCGTCCGCGTGCACTCTTATGGATTCAGTTGGATTTGAGGTTCCAACATGGCTAAGCTGTAGGAAATAGCCAAAATCCCACCGAGTTTAAATCCAGAGTCGGTGGTGTTAAATATTTTACTGGAAGTTGCCAGGTAATAATTTGACTGAAAAAACACTGTTTTATGGGCGCTATATGAACACGACAGTGGAGAAACGTTCTCGCGGTAGCTCAGCGAGGCTCTATTCATTGCTTGTTCGAGTAGCGATCAACTCGCTGGCGAAAATCTGCACGTTATCGCTACAAATGGACGAAAATCGAGGGCAATCTTGGACTAGTTATTTCATGTACTATTTAGTTATATTTGTGGCTGCTAGTAAACCCTAAAAAAGAAAGCTTATTTCCCGATTAAACGAACTACCCGACATTACACACTTACCAGCTCAAATGCTCAGGATCATCGTCAGAAACCAGGCTGTTGATAAGCGTCCAGTGTCTTTTTGATTCCGCCCGTTTCTGTATTACTGTATCAGTAGCAAAGAAAAACAGATTCGAAGACAGTTGGTGCATTTTGCTTCAGCTGTTGGATACATCACTGATTTTGTTTCAGCAAAGATCTATTAAATTAGGTAGAAGACTATCGAATGTATTAGTTCGCTATTTACCCACCTACCTTCTGCCTTCTGTCTGCACATCAGCCAGCTATAGCAGGCAATTGATTGCCAGACATTATTTATTGCTCCGGGTTAGCTATTGGCCAACGCCACATCGGCCGTGCACATTCAGCCAGCCTCAGTTAGTATTCTTTACGAGTATAAACAATAGAGGAATCTCTGCTCGAACTTACACAACCCAGTGAGTCCAAGCGACTGGGAAACCGGATCGCAGCTTAGAGTTCTGGCACAAGCATGCAGACATGCAGAAACGGCTCCGACACACTTCTCGACTCGGGACACGTCACAGTTGTCAGCCACTAGCTCAGCTTCCCACTCTGTTCGAAAAAAGGGACGGACTCTTTCACCAAGTCACAGAGACACTATCGTTCATTTTATATAGAAATCGACAATTATACAAACATACCGTAACAATTTCTTACTGAAGCCCGTATTAGAAAACCTAGTCGGCTGCTTGGGTGTGTTAACGACTCTGCTATATAATACATACTGTGGAATGAGCAGCTTGCGGCGCTGTCGTAATTAACTGCGGCAGAATATCGGTACGTGTTCTTCGCAGGGTCTACAAAAGCCGTTTGATGCACATGGTAATTCGCATGTGCAAATCCTCCGCCCGAGTACGACCTATTAGGTAAATACCCTCGACCCTTCTCCGCTACATAACTCGGAAGCAGCAAAACAACCGTCTGAGGCATCTACGATTATATCGGCAAAACCCATGCCAGAAGTTACTCACTGAGAAAACCCACTGAAATAGCAGCTTCGTGTGTAACCTGTCTACTTGACAAAGAGTTATTCTTCCAACAGCGTTCTGACAACATTAACTATCTGGCTCGAAACTTATATTCAGTCATTATTTTCTTAAGCCTCGACATTTTAACGGTTTTTTCGCTGTACTATATCAGCCTCATTCGTGTACCCTTGTTTTCTGAAGTCTCAAGCGAGAAGCGATAGTAGAACAAAGAGGCACTTTACGATAACATACAATGCGATCTATTTGCAAACTTCTGGTTGTTTTTTTTTCGTCCAGCAACTATTACTGCTTTCCGCTGTAAGCTACAAGTTAGCGCCAGGGAACGAGACGCTTTGATGGCGCTAGACGCCGCCGTTTGATCTAACGATTTCTTCAGCAGTATCTCTTTGCGAATCGAGTAGATTTCGAAACTGACGGCTGAGGATTTCTATTGTTTATTTGAGGAACGAGTTCGATAGATTAGCCATGATCTGTTTGACAAAGGCAGTCGTCGTTAAGTCACAATAGATAACCGAATTCCAATGCGAAACAACCCGACTTGTCTTATCACAGGCAAGATGGATACATAATGCTTTACTACTGCCGTTTCTCCGATGTTATTCAGTTCAGAAACTATCAGTCATATCCGGTGTTCATAATACACCTGATGTGTATATATATATAGATAAATTTTGTTGTCAATGGATCAACCGTTTTTCTAAATACATTGCTTTAAAATGCTTTAAAGCCTAGTTTTTATCAGCGCACCACAGCATATAAAACCGTACTGATGCAAAAAAAAAAGTCATAACTACGTTTTAATAAAAATTTGGACAACTATAGAATGCTAATAACATTATTATTATTACCCAGTGGTCACAGAAAAGCAAATATGGGCAAGAGTGCTAATTGGAGTAATGATCGTCATCTCTTTATTGATTTATATCGGAACAATGACAGCTAGAGCGCCATGGGTAGCAACAATAACAACAGCAGCAGCAGCAGCAGCAGCAGCTATCAACATCGTCATGCATGTGATCCTTCTTACTACTGTTGAAAAAGGTGGTTCTACGAAAAGGTCAATAGAAAGCTGAGTCCCCGGAGCACGACCTGAGGCCATGCCCACCGTTTCCGTCCCTCGCGCGTCGAGTGAGACACGGCCCTCAATGTAAGATACTGCGCACCATCTACGCGATGGTAGGGCGTATGGGGAGGGATATTCCAACTACCAGCCAGATTGATCTGGTCTTTTCGTGATCCACACACCGAATCCGAGTCTCATAGATCCCCAGTTGTATGCCTTACACCCCTTTCATCGTATGCCAGGTCTACGCACGGGAGTCAGCGTACAACTGGTCTTCGTTCCATCGTGTTTTCCTCACCTATACACGAGCCGTGTACGCGTAAGGGGCTGCGCAATTCTACTGTGTAGGAGCCAGACGGATATAGAGAGGCCTCAAAGCCTTTGCCAACCTCAGCTACGAGCAGATGGCCTTTTTTTTGGCCCATAGAATTATTCGACCACCATTCGACTTTTCGCCGGGATCATCGTTGGTGGAGTCCGCCGTCAGGCGAACAATCATTCCTACGCTTCATCCAAGGTTCCCATGACCAAACGGCGAAGATGATGATAATGATCGAAACGGTTTAGCCTGCTTCAGCGACGTTATTCCACCAGCGTTAGCGGTTGGGCAGCAGTCAGGCAACAAAAGTACTATAAGCGAACAGTACTATAGGAAATCGTGCAAAAGCCCTCCGGCGGTTTCCATGGTCCCTAACCTTGTCTTGTCACTCCCACTGCCTCTTATAGTCATCGTACCCCACCAGCGCTGCTATTAACGCTTTCTCCTGTTCCCGTTGTTATTCATACTGCAGTTTTAATAATATAATAATGCGTACACAAGTGTGACAGGGTGCTTGCAAAAGAGAGTCTGCGGGGTTTTTCACTTACGATCAGTAGGCATTTATCTGTCTAGATATTTTTATGGAATTATTTTCTATTTTTATTAGTATTCTCTAGCTGAAAAACCTTCGCCCCGTCGATTTCTCAACGCAGGAAACGAGTTCATAACGTCTGAAAAAAAATGAGCCGAATTTGTATCGACAAAACGAAATGGTCAGACATTCCGAATACGAGGAAACAATCCAACCATATGTTACCACCGAAAAACATCGGTAGCTTTCCTTCCGAACCAACACAAGATTGAACCGCTAGAAATGGTCGCAGTTATAGTAAACTCCGAACAAAGGCTAGCGCGCTCCAGTGGCGGCTTCACGGGCCACGTGAGAAGTTCCAGATGTTGATGAACTGCGTTAAAACAAATGAACCAATAAACAACAATTCTAGTAGTAAAAAGAAGCAACAGCAGCAATATAAAAGAAGGTATCGCGCTTAAGCGTCTTACGAGAGCGACCGTGGATCGCCCAATATGGTTAGGCGCACCTTGGAAGCTGCATTTGGAGTGCTGTGAAACAACGGATCGTAGATTTATATGGCATATAGAGCTATTACAATCTCCCTAGTCCATAACGGGTCGGTTGCAGTCTACATACGATCGGTTTCTTTTTTTTTCAGTCGCTAGTTTTGAAAAGGTTGCCGGCCCATATAGCTTTTAGGGTCTATATAGAGTTGCTAAGAAAAAGTGCAAGTAACCAGATTTGTTTTGGCGTAGCTTCGAGCCGTCTGGTGGGTGTATCAGTCTAGTTATAAACGACGATTTAACGGTTCAAAAGTTGAGTGTGCAGCTTTTTCTGCTGTATCGAAGTCGGTGTTTTGTGATGTTCTTTTTATGATGCTTTTGCTTCGAGCCGATTCTATTCCGCCATATATTATTCTATTAATGCCTTACGAAGATCAGCGACACGCAAAAGGGCCGCAAGTTCACTATCTCTGCATATGTTCCAAGTATCTGCAATGCAAAATACATCCGTATGTAGCGCGTACGTACAGCTGCGTCACAGCTGGGGAATTATATTTGGAAATACAACTAGAAGGTTTCTACATCCCGTACAACAGTCACATATGACTAGCTGGGCTCCAAGTCACTTTCTTGCAACATAAAAATGACACTGCTTCACTAGAGTGAATGAACGACAAGTGCGCAAGCTCTCTTTAGTTGATTCAATGTGCGATAGTGTATGGGATAATAGGCTCGCCAACTATCGCTGGTTCAAAGTCCTAACACCGGTAAACAAAAGACCTGCGACCTCTTAGGTCTGTTGGAAAGATCTCAGATTAGTCCAGCGACGGAATCCTTGCAGCGCTTTAACCGACAGCGAATGGTTACTCTGGAGACTTCACTGAAAGTCAATTCGAACAAATGTCACACGTGACAAGCTAAGAGGATGCCGGTACAATAAATAGATTGTTACTTTTTACCATTTATTTCAGTTCCGTCTGCCTGTTCAAGATCAAACAATTACGACGTAGTCAAAGATTTCCATGCAGAATAAATATTGCTGAACCATACTGCATTGCACCAGAAATAAACCCTTGCTTCGAGTCGTGTGCCGCTTTGCCTGAGAGTATAAAAGTGATCTGCGGCCTGCAGCTTTCGACTGATTTACTGTTTTTCAGTTGGGCTACTTTGAAGATAGTATTAACCGGTGTTTCAAATCTTTTGTTACCGGATGCAATGAAATAGTTCCGGTTGGTCATTTTCGCACAAGCCGTGCGACGGGCCTCGAATACTGCAATGAACCTAATAAAATATTGTTTTCAAAATGTGTACAGCTTGCTCTAATTTGTTTGCTTCATAGCGGTGCCGTAAGCCCGTCTAGTAAAAGAACAGCGGTTGAAATCCGACGTCAGGAAGCAGAGCATGCATCAGCGAAACCTCCTGGCGACAAAAACCTCTATTCTTTAGTGGATGTATGCCGTTATTCTTAGTATTACAAAAACACTTAGCCCATCATTTTTCACTCAGGAGGGTAAGACTAATGTGGGGCCTTACTTATCTGTCAAAACATGTTTATGTGCATGTCCTACTCCATGCAACACAATAGTGCCACAAAAGTATCATCACCGCGACGATAGGATCCGATTACTTTTCATAGTACGGCATCGTTACTGTATTCGGTTTCGTCATGAAACGGAAGAATAACGCATAGATATTAGTGATAAATAATAGGAAACACTACCTTGTATTTCAAAGCCATAATACACCACGAAACACAACTAAATAATTACACTGTCAAAGACAGATCTCCCTCACCCTTTGTTGAACCTAAATATTCACTGCGCGATAATGCATCCTTTAATACGCGCTGCATCTAGAGCTTGTGATATATGCCACGACACGGATCGGCGTCCGGATCCATATGGCCTGGCTATCGGCACTCGTATGGGCAGGATAACTGGTGGAGCTGTGATCACAGACTGCTCTAACCTAAAACATTATCGGGGAAGAAGCTTGTTTTCCTTTTTGAAACGTAAAGGTTCACTATGAGGGATTCAATTAATCATTCGCCGGATTCGCGTTTGACAACAGGACATAATTTGTTCTTAGGGTTTATTATACACATCTCATCGATTAAACCTGCTTCTGGACCCCTGTTAAAATTGTTCGGCACGAGCGGCGGTCATGCACGTCTGCAAATAAATACAGCGACCGCGAACGCAGAGCCATCGTGCTCCTAAGCTTGACGACATGAAAAATAACACGACAGCACGTTTAGCATTAAATTTGCCCTTGTATTTGATATTAATACTTCACACATATTTACCTCGCTTCATCGACAATTAGGCTTTTGTGGGTACATATTCTTGAGGAACATCGTTTTCGACCCTGCGAGTTCAGAAACAAAAAGGCGTTATCCATGTACTGTATGACGCCTGCTAAAGCGGGGATCAATAAGAGCTGCGGATCTTCTATTGCAAAAAAAACTGACTATTGTGAAAATGAGCATGTGAATGAATCAGTCACACGAATATGCTCTCCGTCTGTTCACTACGACATAACTTCTACTGTGATCGTCTTGCACGCTTCGTGCGCGTTCCTTTCTTCGCGTCTGCCCCTCGCGACAGGCGCGACAAGAGAGGTCCGTGACCTAGTACAAGTACAATGCAGCTAGTCACTAGCCAACTTCCGCCTCGCTGCTGCTGCTGCCGATTTAAACCCCGCCTAGCCCAGCATGTTTACACTGACGTTCATTGCAGTTTCCACTGTGTGTCTATAATGACAATACTGGGATAACGTGTTTAATAATTCGCAGGAGCAACGGCAATGAGAATCACGAAATGACTGTTAACGTACGGCATCTACTGTTCTATATCCGCCAAATAGTTCCTGTGCGGTGGCTAGCAGGCTCGCAAAAAAGACCTCGTTGACTGTTCAGAAGACACGTTGCCTTCGGTAGACTTCGGCTATAACAGTACTTACTCATTGGTCATTGCTGTCCTCCTACTTCTGCTGTTTTTCTAGTCTATAGTAACCATGCCGAGTTGACACCTCTGCTGTTAGGCGAGCGCTTTTATCACCACAGTAAAACATAATTACACATTAGGGACGTTGAGGTATTTCTACGCCAGTGCATTACTGCTGTGGCTTGTTTTTGTGATTGTCCCACTATTTTCACCGACGTGAAATTGCATATAACTACAGCGTTGTGGGAGTGAAATGCTTTGTGATATATTCTGGGAGAACTACAATAGAGTATAAAATATAACATATCCGTAACTTTTACAGCTCTGAAGTAATCATCCACGCTGACGAAGATAGAACACCGATAGAACAACCAAGTCAGTGAAGAGTCACGATATAACTGTTCGCGCGCTCAGAACCACTACTGCCGCATCCCCTGTCTATTCGGTGGTTCTTACTGTGATCTTCGATATCATCAGTACTTAGGGTACGATACGCTCTGTAGTCGCTGCTGACAGTATCGGAACGACTGGCGTCCACAGTAGCACATACTGCAATTTTCCATTGTTACCGTCATTATTTGAACATCTGGAAGAGAACTATCATCACTACGGATGCACGAGGTCTGCGTTTTGCTTACACCATACTACTGGGACCTACCCCATCGGTCCCTCTTCGTTACACTAGAGAATTGTCGGCGGCTACGTCTGCGCCTGTTGCAGTAACTCCGTTTTACTCGGCAGTAACCACCTGATAACTAATCAAAGTTATCGAGAGTTGCTCAAAAAAAAATACTCGCAAAAAGATTGAAGAAAAGTAGGATCATGTGGAATTGAGCGGCGAAGAACATGCATTTTGGTATGTTAAACACCCTTGCGTGTATGTTATACGACAATATTGCATATATTGTAATACCATATGATAGCATTACATATTGGGACCGTTCGAAGTTCACGCAACGTGACCAACAAGCGCCGGGAACACTGCTCAATAAAAAGGTAAAGAACTTGAAGCCTGGAAGGGCAAAAGTGAGAAAACCGAGCTACAAACACGTTGATGCATATTTCAAATACATTGAGTTGTACAGCTGTTAGAGAACTTACGAAGCGGTGTTGGAACCGATAAGGGGTAAAAGCAACATAGTGCTTTGCCTGCCAGACTAGCGCGTTGAGAACTAAACAGATGTGTACAATTTAGGTGCAGGTTAAATAAGACGTTAACAAATATATTTGATATGTACACGTATATATGTTGAACAGCGTATGCTTCCGTTTCCGACAAGACCTATTACGTTTTCGAATACCCAAGAGAGCCCATAGATGTAACTGGCGCCGTGTTTTTTTAATATTAATCATGTCATCAACACTAACGACTCGTATTTGTGTCTGGCCGCCCAACGAGTTCGAGGTGATTAGCGGGTCTAAACCTAGTAAAGGCAACCCTCGACAAGTTTGCACAGACCATTTCGTTAATAAAACTTAACCTGCACCATTGTCGTAGCTGCTCGATAAGATTGTCGGGGACACTGGCGAATATAAAAATAGCGCTTGGCAACTCGCAACTTATAACACACAGCCTATAAACGCGTTCAATAACATATGTTTTACTTCATAATTTCCCGACAGAAAAGAAGAAGCAATAACAACTACCGTAGCCTTTTGAGTACGTTGAAATGATGAAGCCGGGGCAGTGCATCCTTTGTTTTTACTGCAACGGTTATCACAAATACAAAGCTTATTGAGACTTCAAAGGATAGCGGACGCATAACATATGGGCGTCACACGCCTGCTATATAGCTAAGTACGGACTTCATTATTACCGAATGACACATGTCGTCAAGTCAGATAGTAATTACGTTGACATTATAACTCACAAAAATTGCCATGATCAATAGCGCTGTGATTGATGCTACTGCCTTCATTGCAGAAGCCCACATCTACGGTTAATATGTAAGAAAACAAGGGAACAAAGAGCTGCAGCGCTTGAAACGGGCTGTCTGAAACAATTATACTCAGAACGTTTAACCATCGGGAGGGGGGAGATCTCCATTTCAATCTATCGTGAGCGCGTCATACGATACAGCCCTGAAAAAAGCGTAGTTTACGTGCGTCAGCGTAAGATGGGGAGCATTCTACCGTAGCCAGTTGCAACAACACCATGTATGGAGAAAAAAATCATAGGTTAAAATTGATTTGCCACTTGAAAAAAATAAAAAATCGATAAAAAGTCACTCGTAGGTCGCACGTGGGCAAGTGGGTTGACGATGTGGGTTTGTGGTCGGTAGTTTAATGCAGGTAACGGGAACATAATCGTAATGTACCATGAATGTACCCTGCCTTCAAGAAGTGCAAAATGAAGAAAATACAAAATCATTTATATATTAGTCGATCGAACTGTATAATCGACATAAACAATGGCAGGTGCAATGGTGGTAGGGACTGAGCTGGAGTGTGAATACTTTGCCTTACCAGTGCTTTGTTTAGATATTTTTTTGTTTTTCTTTCCTACACTGCCAATGCGCAGCATCAGCCCCAATGCCTAAAAGTCTGGCTATCTGGCGAACTCTTGACTCGGGACAAAGTGGCGCTCACATTAAATACGTCACGGCTTCTTTCTACGATTCAAAAAAGGATCCCGGATCATGGTAGCTGTACGCTGGAATCGAACAATGAAATTCAAAGCTATCATGGAAAACAGTTTCCAGCATAAGTTTTATTTGTAGAGAGACGAGAACCATTTAGGGCGAAGGAACGCAAGACAACAGAACGAAATATCATATTCATGCCGCATTTAGTGATTTTTCAGTTTTAGGCCAGCATTACAGTCAATGACTATGATATAACCAGTATATTTTAGTGAAACATATATACTTCTCGTTATTTTTTCGCATAAAGGTGATCGTGTTAGAGGAGACAGCGACAGTAAAGAGTGCCTCGAATTAAGTTCCCCAAGATATGTGTCTTCAACTGGAGAGGCTTGTAGTTCGCCGTGCTAATCTAAGGGTACACATGATTCGATCTGAATATGCTGGAAGCCGTTAGGTAAACACATAGGGAGACCCAGAAAAATTACTTGTATCCCTGCTATAATCCATAAATGGTCAATTGAGAGTTATAGAACAGAGCTTCTTTACTAATCTAATCGCATCATCAATTTGCACCTACTTAGGCCCTTTACTAACTTAGACAGCAAGGTCCTGCTATCTTGATTACATGCACATTTAGTCTACTATATAAGTAAGGAATGAGGGACAACAGCCTTAACCACCAGTAAGTCAGAAAATCTGATTACAGCGAGGCACTGCCCAACAGCATCAAAGAGCTAAAGACGCATAATGGACTAAAAATATAAATATCTATAGTATCTATATTTAAACCGTATAGTTATGTTATCGATGAGCCAGGTTATAGTTTGCTAAGATTATTTTCTAGCTGTTTTAGTTAGCGCGATTTCCTTTCAATTCGCGATGAAAGCTTTCCGCTCAACAAAAGTGTTCATTAATTGATTCGTGTTTGATTTTTTTCCCTTTTTTTTGTTTTTTACTTTATACTTTTTTTTAAATTTTTTATCTGCCACTTATTGTTTACTAACTAATTATATCTATCTTTCCAAATCTATATGTCTCTCGTATTCAACACGTGATCTTTTGTTGTGCTTTCTATGCCATCCTTCTATATGAGTACACGCCCAGGAAACGTCAAACGAGTAAAGACAGAGTGCGCGAGAATTCGAAAACGTCAGCCGAAACGAATGAACCTAGCCTCAGCATTTGTTGATTATAGCAGTCGTTGGCCGTAACTGCGATATTTTCGGTGGCAGCAGCGAAATATCGACGACAAAAATTACAACGACTGCTATGACGGCTAGACAGAAGGAGCGTGCCATAGACGACGACCGTATGGATAGTGTGACAATTCGCAGTGGCAAATATCGTGTAATTAGATTGGAGTTTGCAGATACGGTGCCCAAGCGTCGCTTGACATAGGCATGGCGTCGGATCGCGCAGCATCATGTCATGAAAATCGCATCGAGGACAAGAAAATGCAGCAAGTGATCCCAGTAAACTGGTATAGCGGTGCCAGCCTATTTAGGACACCATGCTAAGTATCAACCGAGCAAGCGCTGCTCTTATCATGTGGCTGGTATTGGGCACAGGAACTCACGTGTCTGATCCAGGTAGGTGTGATGATGGATAGAAAGTGGCAATAGTGTATCTACTATATGCCGGTTACGCTGCTACAGATAACATCGCTAATAAATCCACGGCATGCGCAGTGTACCCAGCACAAAACTAATTAACAGATCTAACAAGTTGGGGAATTAACTAAGTCGCTTCTTTGATTTTTCAACGGCAATAAAAGCCACTGCTCTTCTTCAGTCTTGTTAATTTTAATACCGGGACATCGTCGTCAGTTTGGTATTGATGACCATACTATTGCTCTGCTGTGCTTCGTGTATCATGGCGGGCATCTTCACTGCACCCGGTACGGACAAACGACAAGGGATGTATCTGATATCGTTCAGCAGTAACGGAAAGGCAAGATAACGATATTCGGTTGCCATCTACGCTTTAACCTTGCCGCGGTTATCAAAGCGCGGTACTATGTTTTGAAACGAAGAGCGGCGACAGTTTTAACCGGTAGAACGGGACACTGTAGACAACCATCAAGCAGTGCTGAATCAGAAATAAATAAACACGTTCGAAGTCTGAGTATAAACACTGCTAAAATGCTATAACGAATAAAGTAAATAATAGTAATATTATGATAATGATAATTCTAGATTATCAATCAAGGGAGAATATATATATATATATGAATGTTTAACATATTAATAACCGTAACGATCTTTTGGGTTCTTTCCTGTAAGCTTCCTTTCTAAGGTTCTTTCCTGAGAAATTTTGCTCCTATTAGAGAACAAGTGCCGCCCGTCACTCGTCTACGCTGCGAATATTAATGGCGGCCTTTTACACCGTAAGCTTATGTGGTACAGAGTTAAAGAAGAAAACCAGTGAGATGCCAGAATGCGTGTCCCAGAAATGGTCCGCTGAAGTGGGCTTTAGAGACTAGCCAAAGATAAATTTATTATTAACATTTATAATGAAGTTGACAGCAATGACAAAGTAATTTATATGCTTCTGCCGCTGGGGTACGGTATCTGTCAGCTATCCATAAGAAAGTGTACGTTGCGTTTCTACAAGGAAACGACCTTTCATTGAACAAATATATTGTAGCAATCGTTTATAATAATATATTCCGCGCTGTATACGATCCCGAATGTGATAAAGTCCGTACCCGTTTTTTCTTTATAATGTAATAAAGTTCAATTTCATAGCATTAAGACACCCGAGGGTATCCTTTAAATGAGAATGTCAGTATCTCTCGTT